TGAATTTTAAGAAAAAAATCACATTTACCCCTCAATATTACGTGAACCGTTCATAGTAGATAGGTATTGTAAGGTATCATTATGTTCGAAATTTAATGTAGATTATATTTGTAATTTGTTATATTTAGAGAAAAACGCACCGTTTTTGAGGTATTTGCAAAAAAGTAAAAAAGTCCCATCCACCCCCCCTTTTCTTTTAACCCTCCTTCCCAAATCCGACACTCAAATCCGTGTAACCTTTTTATACATATCAAGGGAGGTTTATTGAACAATTTGGCACTCATTAGAAACTTTTTTTATAGGTGTCCATGGGTTTCCTCCATTTAAAAAACAACTTTTTTAGAATTTTAAGAAAAAAATCACATTTACCCCTCAATATTACCTGAACCGTTCATAGTAGATAGGTATTGTATGGTATCATTTTGTTTGAAATTTAATGTAGATTATTTTTGTAATTCATTATATTTTAAGAAAAACGCACCGTTTTTGAGGTATTTGCGAAAAAGTAAAAAAAGTCCCATTTTTACCCCATTTCCACCCCCTCCCCCCCAAACCCGACACTCAAATCAGTGTAACTTTTTTTTACATATTGAGGGAAGTGTACTCAACAATTTGGCACTAATTTGAAACTTTTTTTTTTGATGTCCCGGTTTGCTCTTTTTTTAAGCTAATTGCACTGTACTAATGCCTCTACTAGTAAGGTACAAGCTCTCAACACTCTTGTTTCCTCAACTAATTTGTTTCCAATGATTGTGTGTTTTTTGTGCTCTTAACATATCAGAGCTTGCAATGGATGGAGATAAATTTATGATTTTTATCATTTGTTTAGAAGATAAAATCACGTGTAAAAATGACTAATTTACGGATTTTTAAAATGATTTTGTAAATACTAAAAAAAAAAAAATTACAAAAACAAATTATTTTTTTTAAACAATTTTTGTAGGAATAATATATTTACGTGGGAACCAGCCGGCGGGTGGAACCTTCTTTGGAAGCACGTCAGGCATAGCTCTTTGGAAATTGGACTGAGGGCCGACGAAATTTGTCCATGGTGGTTAGCTATAATTTTTTGCAAAACTACACACTCTAAGCTTATTTTTTATGTGCCTCATGTCTATATTTTCATTTGGTAAATTGCCTTAACCGCTTACGTAAAATTTGATTGTGTCACTTAAGTAATTCAATAGATTTGAAAAATTAATCATTTTACAGTACTACACATTTATTTGCCTACGTATTTTGCAAATATTTATGTAATTTGGGTGTGAAATAAAGTGAGAGGATGTATATATATTTGTTAGGTACCAAGATCAGCTGTTTCTTTAGCTAGTACCGCAAGACAACAGCAAGCTGTTCTCAGGATTGTACCATAGCGACCCTCTGAGTCTTAGGTATGCAAGCCCTGTAGTCAGCAATAATTATAGCTACCGTATCCAGATACTTGATAACACAAATGCAGGGTAATAGAAGAAATCCAAAACTGAAGAAAGTGTATGTTAAACTTTTTATTGTGTAGCACCAACATAACATCAACTTATTAAAGCATCAGACTAGAAACAGAAGTCATAAGGATTTCAACCATCATATTTTCAGGAAGCAGGAGCACTTTGGATAAGCCTACAGAAAATCATATCAGGTGTTGGCATAGCTCTTTGTCCTTGGGAACTTTGAGGAAGCGGCCTCTGGATTCCAGAAGTTGGTTCACCTTGATCAGTTCTACAACAAAATGTAACTTCAGGGCCTGTAGAAATCCCTTGAGGTTGTCTTTGACGATTCTCCGGAATTTGTGGCTGGAATGGTCTTCCAGAAGCTTGTTCATTTACAGGTCTACAGGAACAAGTAACTCCGGGCGCTGAAAGTACAATTCCTCGCGAAGGCTCTGATATTGCGGCAGGTTTATTTTCCATTCTTGGTCCTTTGGTCAGATCCACAACCAAGAAAACATCCATCGGACTCTTTCCCTGGGGATTCAAAGTCTGTGTATCTTGATGTGCCTGATTTGGGACTCTTCCTGTTCCATTTTGGAAATTGACTTTTTTAGGAGTTGTGTGTTCCTGACACATGGATGAAATATCCAACATTCCAATCAATTCACCTTGAGGTACTTTTCTACCATCGATGAATTTACCTGCTTGACATGTGTTGTCGGAAGGTCCTTGACGAAGCTGTTGTGGTGGTTGTGACCCCAATGGAATGCATATTTCTGGATTTAGAGGACCAGTTTTCAGTTGCTTCCCTTCAAAGTTCTGTCCTGGAATAATTGAATAAACGTTATTATTGGATAATAAAACATATTAATTTTATTGATTAAGGAGAAGTGGATCACTTTCCAAGGCTATTCTACCACCTTTTTGGACTTAACTATGAAAATATAGGAAAAATCTAGTTTTATCACAAGTTATAGGCCTAATGTTACAAATTCAGAAAAAAATTATAAATATATGTATTTTATATAGTTTTTTTTTATGATTTATTTTTATTAATATAACTATTTCCTGCCATTGTTTTATGAAAACCCTGCAACTTATAACTTACATCTGTTATACTTTACACAGATGTTCATATGATAACCAGATGATTGATATTGTAAAACTTCAACCAAGGAGATAAAGTAGGAACAATAAACAATGAACATAGTCGCCAAAACACTCATATTTTGTCTTCCACTATAGAAAAGGTAACAGATTCATCTGACATAATCAAGGTAATTAGGTCAAGCAAACTTTTGCTTGTGTTAAAGTGATGCAAGACAACCAAAATGAAGTAATAAATCCATCTTTAACTATAGCATTACATTGTAGTTCTGAATTAATAATCATTATTTTCAAGATGTACTCTAGAAACAATCGGTTTTCATCTGGATATGTTATCTAAACTAGAATTTTTATGTTTTTAATTTCTATACCTGTTACATAGGTCTTCTCCTGAGTCAGTGAGTTTCCGATCCGTCTGTCGCCTCGTATGGGTTTGGGCCACTGACTGGGCTCACAGCAAGGTCCAGGATTGACTGCCACACACTCAGGCCTACCACCACACTCCCATCTACAGAAAGATAAAATAATTAAGTTACCATCACTGTCAGTACGGTAGCATTTTGTATGTATTTATTAAAAGCTCATTTTAGGTGTGCTAAGCCCCTCAAATGTTTGTGGATCTCCTGGAGATTGAACCCACCACACTCATACTGAAATCTGCAATTACTCTGGGCTGGATCCCATCTTTTGTCACTTTTGGAAGAAGTCGCGAGAGATACAGAAAACTATCTTTACTCGTTAATTGAGATCTGTACTGGTGGTTTTGCATAAAAAGCTCTTACCATTGACTATGGAAAGAACTATACATAGGTACATCATCATCCTTATCCCTTTTAATCTGTTTTAAAATGAATTTAGTTTAACTGAGTGAATGAACTGAAGGGTGCGCTGATTTGAATTGACATTCATTTATTTTTTATAAAACCTAGCCAAACTGAAAGGAGAACTCAAAGTAAACACCACATTTTTTATATAATTATACTTATCATAGTAGCCTATCAATAGTATAGAAACTAAATAGAATTTTGTCAATGTCAATAACACACTATATTAGTGGGTATCTTGTTTAACAATGTTCTGAAGGTTCCTTAGGTGGTGAGTTTAAATCAAATTTAGGTGAATCTGGTCCATTTAGATTAGATAACTAATCTGGTATTTGAAAGTACTGACTAAGTAGATAGCCCATATATGGACCAGCTGAAGCCAACACTTAATTGAAATAGATTATAGTTGAATGAACAACTTGCAAAGTGTGTACAGTTTAAAACCCTATTTTCTCCCATAGTTTTTGTTACTATAACTTGATAGTTAAAGATTCTACATAAAATCGGTTTACTATAAGTTGCGCTCCCTTTCAGTCTATATAGCTACAGAGAATTAGGGTAATGAGGAAACATTCAATGGTGTACCTAAGTGGTGTCTAGGGTAAGGTCCAAGACATTTGCTTCTCCTACCCCCACACACCAAGGGCGGGTCCAGGGCTAATTTTCGGAGAGGGGGCCATTCTATCGAGTGTGTAGGGTTATTTTAATTCTAGGCCAGCATGGCCACAACTTCCGGGGGGTCTGGGGGGTATGGAATACCCCCCATTGTGGGAGGGGGGTCCGGGGGTCCTCCCACATTTCATTTTTATCATCAACATGGAAATGTAATGTCTGTTCTATAAATTTTTAAATCTAAAAGTCACTGCTAGAGGTATCAACTCTACGTCTTACATTAGAAACATTACAACAACAATAACGACCTTGGACAGTCGTGTTGTAGTCCGTTACGTTTGAGACACTGACAGTTGGTGTAGAGAGACCCAGACCTCAACTCTTGAGAGGGGGTGCGGGGTAGGTCCCATGGTGCGGGGGGCTGAAACATCAAACACAACGTTAACTCGAGAAATATAAATGGAAACTAAGGAGCAATTTAGATTAGGAATTAATGAAGCTACTCAGAGTAGAAGATGAGAAGGGTGAACTTGGATTTTCACCTGAAATTAGACATTGTGAAACTCATCGCATAAACAATATATACTTATAAGTAAACATTTGCACTCTTGACAAGTACATGTCAAACAATGTACATTTGACTTCGATTTTGTTAGTATAATTTTTTTAAATTGTTTTTTTGTTTTTTTGTTGCAATGTAACATCAGGAACTAGTACCATGAAAATTTGTAATCGTATCTTTTTTTGTGGGGTGAGTATTCTTTTTAAGGATAACCTTTCTATGTGTGAGCCCAGAGAAAACTTGATTGAAAATAATTTGGATTTTCATGTCCACAAGATAAGGGAAAAATAATTAAAATCGGTTTCATTAAATCACTGTATGATCCACGAAGTTCAAAGGGATAAAACAAGTCAAAGAAGCAATTAGGCATTGACTTGGATGGGATCATGATTGCTGACTGATGAGTCTAGCTAGATATCTAGAATGAATTATTTAAGATTCTACAACCCAGATCTTTTAAACAAGATTAACTCTAACTTTATGACTAAGAATATAACTAGACATTCCATTCTAACGTTATAGTTGCAGCCAGTCAGGCCCATGGTTTGCAAAAGAGGTGCTCTTGTTCCCCTTCCCCAATCTTGCGGAGAAGTTTCTCTTCCTTAAGCCCCCCCCCCCAAATAAAACTTCTTACCTACGCCTATGGGCCCAAAAAACGGAACTAGTTGCTTTCACATTTTGAATGAAAATTCAACGTAAATTTAATAAAGCCACCGACAGTGTAGATGTGAATTACTGATTTCTGTTGAATACACCATATTTGGGACCAACTCAAACTGATGAGACAATTTATTGAAATCTATAGCATTTGTAACACATCAACTATCACAGTAAGAAAGACTACGGAAGGAAAAAATAACTCTAGACCGTAGCCAACTCTTGAGTAGCTCATTTAACTATTTACTTTATAAAGTAATTAATTGGCTACAGCTGGTCCATGTAAACGGGATTTCTACTTTAGTCAACGCTCAATGACAGTGCTCATTCAATAGACGATGACAGCTTTCAGTTTCACATTGCTATAAGAAATGTTAAGTTTTCTTACTTTTGGCCAACTTTTGTGGTACTTAAAATTACAAAGTGAAGACTGATCAATCACTACATCCTCTATCTCTACCTCCACTCCACTAGGGCCAATTGCCTGGCTACTTACCACCTTCCTCCATTCCTGGTCCTCCTTAGTGGCATCCACAAATGTCACCTGACTGCTGTTCTCATGCCGCATGTTCGTATAGTCGCTGGTAGGTCGAGTCTCATGGATGGCGATTGTAGTTATGAGTGGAGGAGTACAGTCTCTTCGTTTCCTCCATTGTTTGCACTCATCTTCCAGATCTCTCATTCCAGGAATTGCTTTCGCTGACCGTCTGCTCTGTCTAGGTTTCGCTTTGTCTCTGGAAAGTGTTCGGTATTGAATTCACTGACAGGAGAGGAAATTGTAAGAATTCATATTAGGTTACATCATCAGAATTGCTGCACAGATTTGTTTTCTTTCATAAGTTGAGTTCAATACATTTTATGATTTTATATTTTATTTTGGTCCTATTGCACAACATTTGCTTTTTCTAAATGTATATTGGGGATTGGTCCAAACCAAGGTCTTGTTACTATCTAACAGCCTTTTGTTTGATAGCATCATAAATTGATAGCACAATGACAAATGTCATCAGAGTTCAGGCACAACCTCGCTAGGAATTTAACCGGAGACTTTTATTTAAGGAAAGCACTATAACCACTCAGCTACCCTGACAATAAAAATCGGAATTTTCATTGCAGATTTAGTTTTGATATTTAATATCAACTTGCATTTTAGCATGACTCCAGAAAAGTGCAGAGGAATCATTCAATGGTACCGGTACACCTAAGTGGTGTCTAGCACTAGACACTATGGTGTCTAGGGCAAAGTCCAAAACTGCCCCCTCACCCTCATGTTCAAAGCTCTTGCTGGAGGAAGACCCTGTGCACAGGATGCGATAGAAATTTCCACAAAGTGCTCGCTACTCGGACTCACACATTAGCTATATTATTTATTACAGGTTTCACTACTTAAAGCCTTGATGGATGTTACAACACAAACATTTACGTTAGATACAAAACAAAAATAGGTATTTTGATTTATATAGTTTGGTTAGTTTCAAAGAAAGTCTTGCAGGCTACTTAAATCGATTCTCTAGTAAGAAGTGCTTTCTCCAGTAGGACCTCGAAAACAAATAAGTTCATTCCGGTATGTTTTTTCCTTCGTGATGGCTTTATTAATGTTATTATGTAATTAATGTTATTATTAATATAAGTAACCGACAACCTAAGAATAACATTAAAAACAAATAAGTTCATAAAGTTCAAATAAGGCAGCGAGACATTTATGAAAAGCCTCTATATTTAGTACAGTATTTTTGTCAAATATTGCATTATTTACCCTTTTACAAGATTGAAATAATCTATTTCAACACTATTTTGTTTTCATTTTTTCCTTACATCTGAGCTTGCTTTCCTATAATCTCTTTACACCAATGAAAACACTGTTAGGGTAAAATTGGTACCTAATAAATACTTAAGATGGATATACTGTAAATAAGTTATAATAAATGTAGTCTGTTGTGGTTTTAATTGAGAAGTATATTTAACACTTGACTAGCCCAATATGATCGGTAGATTTAGAAGCTGAGGGAATGATAGAAAATTTGGTGTATTCCATAGATTCTTTGATTTTTAAGACAGATTACATAACTTTACAATTCCTGTAATACTTACGCATGTTCAATACTTCCAATTATTTGCTTTACTTCGTTGATGAGTTGGCATCTTCTGTCATTTTTTAATGGAGTGTAATTTTCTGTACATTCCTCCTGACCGCAGCATTTCTGAACTCCCATTTTTTTAATGTCAAAAAGGTTATAGTTTAAAAAAAATGTTTGTTAGTGTCTATGTAAAACCCTATGGATAACTTGAACTGAAATTTTAAAGTGTTTCTGGTTTTGTATGAGGTGTTATGATGAGGTGAGTTTTGTTTAATGTTTTGCTAACAATGTTGTCATTGGATTATGAATCATGTGTTTTAGAATTGAAGGAATCAGATGTGTGCCAAAGGTTATTTGAGGTACTATTATTTTGAAATGAACATGGTTGAATATGTATGTAAATTACTTCAATTAGCATAATCAATGGTGAATGGTGATAAATTGTAAATGGTCATACAACATTTTACCATGCAGGTTTTATTTAAAACAATGATCCAGGTTATTTACTCAGTCACTTTATTAAGACTGCATCAAGTTTGTGTACATGTTTAAAAGCTGAATAGCTTGGGGGGGGGGGTTATTATTCTTGTTATTTCCATTACTTAAAACCTTGTTTACCCAAATAGAACCATCTAATCATAAACAAAAACTCAGTCAGAGTTATATAACCAAACAGTAAATCACAAATCATGAAACTAACCCTACTAAAATAATAAAACAGAATTTCATTTACCCAAGCAATCAGTGTCACTGGACATGAACTATAGAGACAGGAAAAACGAGCTTCAAAATTTACAATGGGATGAGAAGTGATGGTTAGTCTATGATGCTATCTACAAACCTTTTTAGGCATTCAGGAACAAACTCTAAATCAGGTCCAATAAACAAGTTTGTGCCCAAATGTATGTCCTACCATTACTAAGGATCGTGTTTATTATGCTTTGTTTGTTTGTGTCAATAATATGGAATAGAGTTATGGGACAGCAACTGTAACGCAAAACCATTTTCAAAATAACAAAAAAACAGTTCCTTAGAATTATAAGCTTTTCAAAACCAATTAATCTTTCAAATTATTACCTACGGTAATTAAAAATATTGAAAATACTACCAGTTTCATCTACTTATATCCTTGAAACATAAAAATTAATAATAAAAAACTTTAAATTTTTATGAAACCCAACTATAGTTGTTTAAGAAGTTCAAAATGATTTACAACTACCTACAGAATTCATAGGCTTGCTTCTCTCGAAACTTGTAAATAATAATAATAAAAATATATATTATTTATATTGAGATTCACTGAGTCACACACATTCAAAATTCAGTCAGTGGTTACTGACACAGCCAATAACGTTTCACAATAGTTAGTTTTAATCTTGTTCTGATTCTTCTTAATTGTAATGGAATACACCCAGACAGCACACTTTCTCCTCAGGACATCCCACGGATATTGCGACAGGATATGCAAGATATCCCATAGTGGTCCTATGGTCAACCTGGGATATCGCAGGATATCCACAGGAATGCGTAATGTCCCCGCCCGGGGATGTCCTACGGATAAGCTCACACGCATATCCGTGGGACATCCGAGGTCATCCCAAGGTAGTCCTCAGGACATATGGGACTACTATGGGATGTGCCTGGGATAAAGTGTGGTCTGGGCCTGAACATAAAAAACACAAAATAATATAGATTTAGTATGAAAAGCTTAATTATAAGTTTAGTAAATTGATTAAATAGTTAATAAACACAAATTTTGAAGAAAAAAACGAGAAAAAAGTTTTTGACCCAGACGGGTCTCGAACCTGGTACCTCCGCCTTATGAGCCTTTTACCTTACCTCCTGAGCTATCTGCGCTTGATGATTGTGTGTGTTTTCAAGTGGTAAAAGAGTAGCCGACAGTTGCAATGGTCGCAATACTTAAAATTTTATGATAGAACTCTAGTTTTCCTGAACTCAGTGGTAGTAATATGTCAGTAAAGTAAAGTCAACCCTTGCTAGCCATAGTATTAACAAGACATATTTTCAATCTGGGAAACCTTAAACTTTTAAAATAAATTATCAAACCTCAACATCTTAATGCGTGGGAATCTTATTTTTAGAAAGAAAAAAAAACAGACCAAAATTATTTGTTAAATTATGAAGACGGCCCAATTATAAATTCGGAATTACTGAAAATAATTACATCAAGAACAACACTGTAACATATCCAAAATTCAAAAGATTAATTTTTCTAATATTATTTTTTATTTTTCCAATATTCTTTAAATCATCTGTTTTAACTTTGTTTAAAATTAATTTATTAAGTAAATATTTACTTTTTGTACTAGTGTAAACACAGCCTGAAGATGGAAACCAAGTTTCTGAAAGCGCTAGTGAAAAAAAAAAAATTATTATATATTGGCCTTGTTGAACATTTAAATTTAGATATACATTTAATCAGTGGTAGTATTTTTTTTCTTCAGTTTGTTACCGGAACATTTCGGGACAATACAGGATATCCAGTGGATTTTGTACATGTCCCGGGATGTCATGGGACATTCTGAGATATCCTATGGCATTCGTACATATCCCGGGACTTTACAGGATATCCTGAGGTTAACTTACAAATCCCGGGACATTACGGTATATTGTAGGATATCCTGTGGATTTCGTACTCGTCCCGGGATTTTGCGGGATATCCTGAGGATAGCGTACATATCCCGAGACATTCTCAGGACATATGGGACTACTATGGGATGTCCCTGGGATAAAGTGTGCTGTCTGGGCATTTATAAGGAGAAGCATTTTTTTATACTTAATTGTTGAGAGTATTTTAAGAACCAGCAAGTCAGCAAGTGGTTTTGTTTTTACTATCTTGCAGTGTCACAAAGCTGTGTAATTTGTTACAATAATGTTGGGAATTTTCATCACTTTTAAGGTGCCTGAGGTTTAATGTGCCGTAGAATTTTGGCATGGCTGTGGAAATTTAGGGTTTAATGGAAAATAATAAGGGCACAAGAATATTTTCTAATGTAACATACCATAATTTAATAAAGAATTTGTTCCCTAGAGCTTCTAAGGAACAAATTCAGAACCCATTCTTATATTTTTTTTAATTTTTTCAAATTTTAGGATTAATGAGAATATAGAGCCATCAGTTTTCAAATAAACAATTAAACACAGTGACACTTACAATAGTATTAAAAATAATGATTACAACAATGACTTTTCAAAATGTTGAGAAATTGTTCCTGCTAATGAATGAGGGAAATGGGGGGATGTAGGGATTGATGAGGGAAATTGTAGGGAATTTTTGTTGCTGCCAGGGAAATTACTTGTTGAAATGGAGACACTGCATCACTTTACTACTTGTCAAACTGGACTAGATTCAGAGTTAAACAGACATCATCCCACGTCTTATCAGTCTGTAGCTTCTATTGCTACCACTATGGTTTTGGTAAGATACAGCTAATATTTTAAAAGTTTATCCATTAATTGTTAGCCATTATTATAAAACATTTGTCTTTGTTTAAATTAAGTGTAAATTTAGAACATCAGAACTTAATACAAACATGGATTAGTCTACACTTATCCAAACCTATTCATCATACAATTAATAACCTACTGTATTTTGTAACATTAAAAATATGTTACCTAAAATTATTTTGTAGCCAAAATTTGGAAATATTACTACTACAGTCAAATAATCATATTTTAATGCATGTTTGTTTTGAAATTGGAATTATTGCTTGAAATTTTTACTGCCTATACTGTTCTATTTATTTACTGAATATCATTAATTCAAGTTGATTATAATACAGTTTTTCCTGTGAAAATTATATATTGTTTATGTAGAGTACTGGGGTTCACTTGTGTGATGTGTTTTTACTTTTGTTGTTTGATAAAAAAAAATGAAGGCATAAATTATTTGTAATAAAGGTTGTCATTTGTAAGGCTTAAAAACCCCCACATAACTATAAAATGACTCATGCAATAACTGTGATATATTTATAATTCTAAAATAATGAAGAAATTTTGGTATCTAATGAACCAGGGGTTTTGTGTTAAGCTAGTGATGTATAAAACATGTTTAAAGTGTGATAAGGTTTGTTTAGTAACAAAGATAAAATAATACTGGTACATGATTCCACCTTTAAAGAAACATGTAGACAATGTAAATTCCCTGTTGCTTTATTGTTTGTTTTTTTAAAGGAAATTTATTTTTAAATTAACACACAGGATAAGTTGCATTGGATCATTCAATATGGTTTCATGGTTGCTTGTATAATAAAACTAGTACCTCCATTAAATTATTATCCTTATAATATAAGGTAAGATGGAAAACAGTGTAATGTCTTTTACACTAAAAATATGTTTGTAGATGAATATGCTATGTAGAACAGGAAAGTAATGTCAGTAGTCAAAGGCGATGTACTAAATTCTTTCTCTTCATAAGCTGTTCAGGAGAAAGAAAAATCAAAATCACCTGGTGTTTGAAGCCCAATTCCCAACTAAAAAAAACTGGAAAAGTACCGGTACTGTAAATATTAATTTACTACAAGGACTAGATAACATCTACAAACTGCCCTGTAGATAAATTCAACTACATCCCCTAAAATGCATGATCATAACTGTATTAATACAATTATGTTGTTGATTGTTCATATTTAGTTTTTGAAATGGGTAATTATTATTTGTTATCTTTTCAGGACTTAAATTTTAAAGGGTTTATGGCCCCAGTATTTACTCCTTTCAATAGAAAAACGTAAGTAAAATCTGTCTATCATGAACCAAGATATTAAAAATACTTTTTAGTTAGTAAAATAACAACTATAACAATACTCATATAAAGGCATACATCAGAAATTGGTGGTTGTTGAAACATATACATCACAATATCTTGTTGTAAAATGTTTACGAAAGAATATGTCCTGTTGTAATACTATAACAATATTACTGTTCTGTTTAGGGTTAGACTTTCATATTGAGAAACCACTCTCCCATCATGCTGATTAATATCATTGGTAATAACTTTTAGAAATGTATATGGGGATTTCAATGTTTATTTTTTTAACAAATTTATGAAAGCATGGCTGGTTTTTAAAGGTTTATTGTTCTTAAATCTGAATTAGTTCACCTTTAAAGCATATTTTGTGTGTTATTGTCTTATTATTTTTGTTCTGTTGTTTTATTTTTCATACATCATTTAAAAATGAACTTTTGCTTATTTTCATCAATTATTTTCAGAGGCGAGGTAGATGTCAGTATTATCAAGTCATATGCTCAACACCTGTTAAAAAGTGGAGTACAAGGAGTTTTAGGTATAGTATTTGATGTTGATTTATTGAACTGTTGGATAACTGTGATAGTGTGATTATTACTATTTAAAAATTTCTGATTTAAAATACAAAAAATAGTCAATACATTTATTTATCAAACAAAAACTTATGTGTTAGGTACAAAGACCATACAAGGTTTGTCTGCACCAAGAAAATAATATTTAAAATTAATAAAGGTTTCACCTTAACAACAACCTTAACATTGTTTTTGTTAACAAAACTTGCAAAGAAAATTTTTGTTTTGGAAGTGAATTGTTTAAACCTAATTTGTTACTCTACTTCTGATGTGGCAACAGACACAAATTTGATATTCTTTACTTACTTCTTAGAGAATAGTATAAGTGTCGCAAGTAGAAGTGTTTTAGACTGGGACGGTGGCGTCGTTCTGTAATCCAGCTACTAGGAGGTAACGAATTGTGGATATTTATATGCATGAACTGTGGATGCGATACTCCCTGGTGTGGATTAACGTCCGCACGTGAGTACTACGACTATCCGCAGTGCTACCCTAATAATTAGACCAATTCGTTAATACCAAGGCAAAAATGTGGTCCGAATTACACTATAAACTGGAGGTCCTTTAGTTGCCATTCGCTGTACCGGTATGGGTTTTAATTAACAGCTGTGTCTTAAGGAATATATCGGCCTTTAGTCCCTAACAAGACCACGAGATCGCACCACTCATCTTTATTCATACTTGGCTTAAAATACCTACCTTAAAGCATTAAGTACAGATGGTTTTTTTTTTAATTTGGCGGCCTCTTTAAACCTTGCAAATAAGCATTTTTAAAGCCGTTATTTTACTTTGCTGCTTGTTTTGGATACACTTTTTTCATCAGGAGAATTATTACAGAATGTAAATTATTACAGTTAAGTAAGTAAATCATTACAGTTGTCTTCCGCAATGTTCAGATAAACTCTATTTCAGTTTATAAGTGTTGCTGTTTTATGCTGTTTGTTCTTAAAGTGGAATGGGTTGGTTTCTTGATTTAAGTGTTAATAAGTGCTCCTTTGGACGGAAGGGTGAAATCTAATGCATATCTGGTGTTGTGATGGCGTAGGTCCCTATGTCTGGTTTGTTGGAAAGCTATTGCATAAGGAAGTGATACTAGAGTCAATATGTTTGTTACCGGTACTTAATTAATAGGTGCACAACAGCTGTCATGTTGCCCAATGCCAAATACACACTTCAGTACCCTTTCTTGTTGGATGTGTTCAAGACCTAGAGCATACACCCTTGACAGATACTAATACAGATTTTTATAACAACTACCGGTATGACAAAGTATTTTTGGTACTTTTCGAGCTCATTTTCATTACTTTTCAGTGAATGGCACGGTGGGGGAAGGTGTGTGTATGAGTGTTGCTGAGAGGAAGATAGTTCTGGAAGCTTGGCTAGAGGCTGCCAAGAAAACTTCACTACACGTGATGGTGCAGATCGGAGGTCCTTCGCTCAGAGATGTGCAAGAATTGGTAAAGAATAATTTATTCTGAGAGTTTTTTCTATGTTCGCTACAATCAGTAAAATTCTATCGGTGCCTCTTTGACAATGAGAGGTGTAGACTCTTTTTAGTGGTACAGACTTTAAGTGATAATGCAGTTTTAGTTTTTTGGAAATCTCACCTATGGGGGAGTTATACTGGGTCCATAATAACCGCTAACATTTTAAGCAGTCATTTCTCAGCTGTTAACTTACTTCACTTAGACAGTTGATTTTTGCAACGATTAAAAGCCCAGCTGATAAAATTTTAGTTGAAATGGAGCAGTGGACTGTTCAACACCAGGCTTTTGCTGACGAACCTTTTTTTAAATAACGAGTCCATAATCACTACTCAACAGTTATTTCGCAATAATTTCCACATTCATCGCAATGATGCATTCCTCATGCAATAACCATTTGTTGGTGGTTGAACCAATTTAGAAATAGTGCATCTGCTTTGAAAATGAAACTAACTAGTAGATCTAAGTCAATTTTTACTCCAGAACATGTTGAAAATGTGCGTGCATCTGTATTACAAAGCCCAAAGTGATCAACGCGGAAACAATAATCTACCGCGTTGGGATTTTCCAAGACAATGTTACAACAAATCTTGCATCTTGATTTAAATTTTCATCCATATAAGCTGGCAGTCACTGAAAAACATAATCCTGCAAATCCTGAAAGGTGAATAGTGTTATTAGTGTAATATGGGTTATTGGTGTGTGAAACGTTATCACAACTCATTGAGCAGGAAAACATTTTGCAAGTTGATGTTGTCTGATGAAGCTATCTTTGAGCTATGTGGCTCTATAAATACGCAAAATTGTCACTACTGGTCCTTAATTTTATAATATTTTTTTTAGTAAAAAAAAAAACTGTAACTGTTAACACAGCGTTGTTTTATTTATTGTACTTCACAACTGCAAAACAATAATTGCATAGATTGCACACATTATTAAAATTTTATATCACACTCCATTAGAAAAGTTTAATAGTTTGAATAACTTTATACTGTAATTACAAAAATTCTATTAATTAAGGGACTATTCAAAACGCAATAATCAGCTCTCTGACTCATGAATTAGCTGAGCTGTAACAAAACAAAATTTTGGCAGTTTGTTACTATGGATCACCAGGTACAAGTACCACATAGATCATTAATATTAGTATTACCAATTGTGGATGCTACTGCTGACCAAAATATGAATACAGGTTCATTGTTGAAGGGAGTAAGATATGGTTTGTGTTTGTAGCTTTACTAATGACTACGACCGGTTGTTTCTTTACCATTTATCAAGAGCCCAATGATAAAGGTAGCTGTGCCATGAAAAAGCTACAGACTTTTATCAGGTCGAATCTAGCAATCCACATACTTTACTGGCCACAGATGCTTACAGTTTGTTTTGCGAGTGAAAATCCAGCTTGTGCATGTTTACATTTGAATGTTTATAGACATTGAGTTACCTGGGTGATGAGCACTGTTTTTTCCTATCGCCGCACCCGGAGTAAAAGTATAGTTTTGATACCGACCACTCTATTGTTATTTACACAGCTAACACCAGGAAGAAAGAAATTAAAGAACAATCGAAACTAATAAGTCCATAGTCCATTCAATTGTCAGAATAACCGCAATTTCAATATGACAAACAAATATTGTCCTTCCCGGCACCAGGAAAATGTGTTCACCAAAGGGAGCCTGCCATCTGCTCACGCACTAGCATCTTTAGCCAATGTGCATCTTTTCATTTAGTTTTTTGCTCACAAAACGGAACTGTAATTAAAATATTTTTTGAGAAATTCAAGGATGTATCTGTTATAAATTCGCATAACATTATATATTTATTTTGTTTTCCTTAATCAAAAGTGATTTGAGTTCTTTTGTCCATGCTATAGGCAAAGCATGCCGAGGACAATGGAGTTTCTTCAATTCTTTGCCTTTGTGATTTGTTCCATCGGCCAAGCAACGTTCACGAACTAACTCACTACTTGACTCTCGTTAGTCTTGCTGCACCTAAAACCCCACTGCTCTACTATCATATACCATCCTTCACTGGTGTCAATTGTAAGCATTGTTTTCTTACCTTTCATTTACCTGTTAGACATTGATTCAACCAAGGTGATAAGGCAGAAAGTTTAGGAGAGAGTTTTGGAGTGTATTATGTAGGGTCAGTTTTGGAGGGAAAGTTTCAGAGAAAGGGCGTGGGAGGGAGAGTTGTTATGAGAGAAAATAAGAGGTCGAAGGGAAGATTTGGAGAAGATGCATCTTAGAGTTTGATATAGTCATTTAAAATTATTAGCCATTTGCTAAATATAATGACTGTCTATTTTTTTATTACAAAATCTGCAGCTTGTTAATGAGAGAAACTGTGTAAATGTTCAGTTTGATATTCTTTTAACTACATGCTTATTGTCTAAGATATTTCTTATATATATATATATATATATATACGAGTATATACGGTAGCTTCTAGGAATATATATCTCTTTTCTTCATGTAATTGAAACCTAATCTAGGTAACTGCTAAAACCGAACTCTTTATCTAGCTCCTCTTAATGAGATAAACCTATTTATTTTTAGTGGACATGGAAGACTTTCTTAAAGCTGGTAGTTTAAAGATTCCAACTTTGGCTGGCATAAAGTTTACTCACAACAATCTTGAAGAAGGTTCTCGATGTCTCCGATTGAACAACGGACGATTCACTGTACTGCTGGGAAATGACCAGGTAAGAATTTACATACTTGCTTGTTACGGTGCTAACAAATCATACATTTTTATTATTAACTTTGTGATTATGAAGTTATTAACTCCGTTTTGAGAGCCCTGTTGCAAGTAACTCACATTAGAGCTCTAAAATCCCTAAATGTTGGTAGTTTGTCTTGATGTATAAGATTAGCACAGTAAAATATGATTCAGTTAAAAAACAAATACTTCCTTTTACAACCTTGTATCTGCCCAACTCTCCTTTACGCATAGCACTGTGCTCCATGGTCAAAGAAAAATAAATAACATCAATTTTCAGCTTATAGCTGCAGGATTCTTCGAAGGGTTCAACTCCCTCATTGCCACAACCCTAAATATGTTTGCAACTTTGATATCGGAAATCCATCAAACAGTGAATGAGACTACACATGTAAACCTTGCACGCAGCAAACAATTCCGTCTGACTACTATCATCAACACCATCATCAGATATGGTGAGTTGTATAGGTGGTTCTAGTGTTTATCAACACCATAATCAGATATGGTGAGTAGTATAGGTGGTTCTAGCATTATCAACACCATCATCAGATATGGCGAGTAGCATATGTGGTTCTGCTGTTTATCATGTTCCTTGTGATAAAATAAACTATAGTGTATGGTTTTACATACACCTAGACATAGGAATATATGTTAAATATGGAAAAACTTTAAGGGAGTAACTAGTTTTCATTTCTGCGTTGTATGACTAATTACCAGCCAAAAAAACGAACCTGACAAACAAGAGTGGTTTTTTGCTCAATTCTTTCTGGTGAAATTTAAAAACAAATAACACACATAAAACACATAAAAGGTACACATAAAGGTCAGATACTATTTGTGATGTTCAGACAATCAAATGAACTCTTAAACCGTAGGGTAGACAGTCAAACATTTAACTTATTTATCACCAATACAAATATTTATTCTGATTTTTTCAATCTCTATGGAAAAGCGATTCTGTATTATATAAACTTTTAAATCCCTCTTGATTACCATTGTAAATGTCAGTGCATGTGATGTGTCAAAATAGAATCTCAAAACCACCAAAATTTTGAATAGGTTTTGAATACAAGATTTCATTTCGACCTTTAACACCAATCATCAGCTAGACCTAAGTTTATGAAGAGTGCTTGATGATGTCATTTGTTTTACCCTATGAAAATTTAGAATCAAGTTCCATTTTTTTTTAGGTAAGTGGGTGCCGGCGATGAAAGAAGCGATGTACATCATAACAGGGCTCGACTTTGGAGAAGCCCGTGAACCCCAAGGGCGAATGACACCAGAGCAGATAATTCAACTGAGGTCAGACTTATCATCTCTTGACCTGGTCAACTGATAACAGTAATATCAGTGTTGGACATCATGCAATGCTGATAAGCCAAATGTGTCGTGTAATGATTCATACTTTGGAATTGGCGTTTTGATGAACTGATTTGACTATAAGATTATATTAATTTATATGCTTGTGTATTATTTATTACTATTCAATATATTCTGCTGAGAGGGGTAGTATAATATTTCACTTCAATTCCGTCTAGCTTTGTGATAAAGTATGTTAAGATATTGCTTTTTAAACTGTTAATGTTAATAAATGCTTCAGCTTTCAGTTTAACACGTAGTTTTTCTTATCCACTACCGGCTTCTTAATCACAGGTTATGGTTAAATTAACATTATTGTATTGAAGCAATTTTCAAATGTTTAAATGGGTGTATATCTGATTTTTAAAATAAGTGTAATGAAAAAGACAAAATGAAAATGATAAAGAAAATGAGACAGATAAAATAAATAATTATTTAGGGTACACAAGTTCTACTACAGAATGAATAAAAATAATATTGAATATTTCTTTAATCTAAATTTGTAAAAAGGATGGCAACTAAAAAACCCAATCACAATTTTTTATTAAATTAATTTATTTTTTAATTTACAATTTATAAAAACATATAAAATTAACAATTATTGTTCTGTTCAAGATTCTAAAAATATAAATAATCTAAAAATATACATATCCTTATAAGTTTATTTCAAACGTACGCCTTATAACATCTTATGAAAAGGTAACCTATAGGCAAAATGTGTCAAGCTATGGCTTACTCAAGTGTTGAAAAATACAGGCATTGAGTTTATATAGCTTAAGAATTTATCAAAATTGTTGGTAGGAAAAAAACTACTACCATATTAATGAGTATTTTTTGTGAACTATTTTAAAATCAAAGTGAGTATTTGATTTTAGTTTTAACTATTGAATGTAATATGACCAACTATGTATTTATTATAACTAAAGGTCGTCCGGTGGTCAAAAACTCATCCTTCTCTATTTTCCCTCCACGCTGAAAATAAAACATATGATTGGAATTTCTTTCATTTGTTTTGATTTTCTGATTATATTTTGTTGTTATTTTGTCACCCCATAAGACCTATGCTAATTTTATTTTATTTAAATTAATTTTTTGTGCCTATTTTTATATATTTAAAAAATCAGCAAAGTCAAAAACACATAGACATGATTTTTTTGTGTCTTTTTACAAATAATGTTTACCAAGGCCCAAGATATTTTGCGTGTAGAAAAATTTAAGATGTTTTGGCATCTACAGGCATTACTCAATGGAACTTGACAAATGTACCGGTACCACGAATGTCATAAAAATACCAGTGCTTTTGTGACTACAAAAACTGATTTATTGGAGGCAGTCTGACAATCATAGCTACATGCCCAGGAATAAGGTGAGCTGGCAATGACGGATGAGACTTTAGTCAGGAACTCTTACCAATACTAACTTGAAAAAATTGGCAACCAACACATCATTAAAAATAAAATTTTTACACTGGAATTTAAGGAGAATACAAGTTTACAGCTTAGAAGTCCATACGGTCCGAGTAACATTCGCTAAGGCACAATAAACTTTCCAGCGATTCTCCGAGTTCCGTGGTTTCCAGCCCGGAGGAAGCAAACTGATGGAGAGTTCTAATGTTGATCTTCTTTGCTTCACTGACTAACGACTCTAGTAGAGATCCTAGCTCAGGACTAGTGTGTAGCCCAGCCAACACTGATACTTCATTGACACCTATGACAGAGGAACAATTAGTTGACAAACTATGTCACAGGTTGCATTGTGTTTTTTCCTTACACAATTATTGTTGTGTTGTTGTTTACCTGATCTTGATCTTTATCACAGTATGAGATTTATGAGTTTGTCCGCTCCATTACATTACGTTGGCCAAGTAGGATCAACTAATCACACCTTGGGCACCACTTCCCGTTGTCTCTTTAATTTTTGTATTGATTTGAATTTTTTATAATGGTTTCAGTTAACCCGGGTTTGGTTTAATGACACCAGTGCAGTAAAAAGGGTTTGACTGTACATAATTTCTGATTAACTGTGACTGTTTTCAAGCTTACCATACTGCGGAGGTCTCGGTCTCGTATCCAAGTAGCCTTTTGAGGTTAGATTCTTGCTGAAAATGTGAGGGAATGGAGCTGTAGTCTTGAGTGCCGAGTCGTAAGTGGCCACGTTTATCTCGCTTGACGAGTGTCTTATGAACGACATGAATGTTTTGAGTAGTTGTGCTCGAGTGCGACATGAGTATGCAGGGTTGGAGCTTTCCATCGTCCGGTGTTTGTCCCTAAGAAGAAACGGATATAAGTTCTCAACATTTTCAGCAGCTGTAGAAAATAACAGTTTTAGGTTCATAATAACAGCAGTAAAATATATGAAAAAAATATGGTTAACAATATTTATTTTACCATTTTCAACCGAACACAATACAACCAGTCGACTCCTGGATCAAATTCCTGGTTTGTCAAAGAATAAATCTTTGTAAATATTACAAAAAAAATATATATACTACATTCATCCCTTTGAGCTTTAACAGTGGATATTTCGGTTGTAAAACCAGACCTCCGCTTATAGCTATTCTAATACAACTTGACAAAAACATGTGAAAGCTGTAAGTGATGGTGTTGTGAGTGTTGCGACTTGGGAGTCAAGTTTAGAACTAATATGATTGGGCATATGATTAACTTATGTTATCAGTGTGGTAGGTTGTTACGACTGATGTCACTTTAGTCAGGAGACAGCACTGTACATTGAGGGTTTGTTGTGCAACTCATGACGTGGTATAAAAGGCGGGGACACAATGAACGCTGGACAGTCCAAGTGCAAGTTGGCAGGTTGGGTGAATTCTTTGTTGTACATCAAATCAGGCATTTAACTACTTTTGGAGACCCTTAGGCATACTCATTTGTATCTACTGACAACTTATTTTTCAATAGTTTTTAATTATGGTCATAAGATGAGGGAAATATAAAAATAGAGAGAATTAAATCCCTAGGCCTATATTGCTTAAATATTTTTTAATTCGTCAACGTTTATTTATTTTTCATTGCCATAATGAAACATATAAATGCAAATAAAATGTGTAAATTTTGACCAATTAGTGAGAAATTTTGAATAAAATAAGAAGAAATTTAAGAGATACTACAATATCACATTGTTATACATGTATTTGTAATATTAGGCTAAATAAAATTACTTGTTACAATTGGGCTTCCTAGACCTCTTTCAGCTGAGTGACAGTAATTAAGGACTGGCCGCCGCACTGTTGAACAAAACCCTGCTTAGGACCCAGATCATTTGGGAGAAACCACGGTCATTGTTATTGGCATATTTATAATATTAAATTAAAAATTACTTGTTACAATTAGGCTCCTTAATACCCTTTAGTGTGAACTTGTGACGTTTAGGCTATAATATTGGTGATTATTGTCCATTGTTTGACTGTTACGACAAAACCGTTCGTGTAGGAAACGAGAACTGAACCCCTTAATTTAACCAGAGGAGACAATTTACCGTAAACCACAGGCCCAAAAAGCCAGCTTTGATGATTACTAATTTTAATTGAAACATTTTAACTACAGAAATAGTATTGTCAATTGAATATATTCAATAATTAACTAATCAACTGGACTACTAATTAACTACTAAATACTACTAATTAACTGGAAACAACGTGAACTAAGGATTGACCAAGATATCGACATTAAAAGGTGACAACAGAAATTACATTTAAGTAGTTGAAAGGTGATATCTGAAACGGATTATTTACTGAAATAAATTAGTCTAACACCATACCTCACAAGGGGCCTTACCCGGGCCATTTAACTAGCCTATATTGTGGAGGCTGAGCTCCACAAACTCAGTCGAATGACGGTAATAAAGGACTGGTCGCAACACTGGTGAAAAATACCCTTTGTTTGCCATAGGCTCTCCAGAACTATAGAGTATGGGGGACAAAAAATTTCATACTTGAGTTTAAATACACAGTTGCGTCCTCATCTACAAAAATATGATTACAACCAGTTAAAAATGCAACACTCACTTCATAAGCTTGTCTTCCGACACACCTCGCAACACCAGTGATTGTTGACTCTCTGTTACGTCACTTAGAGGAGTGAGAGGGTGACAGAGAGGTCCTTCCCATGCCTCCAATGTCTCCAGCAGTGAGCCGTCCGTGTGAAGGGCAAAGGGGAGGGAGACGCTGAGCGCGGTGGCTTTGCGACCGTACGCAGCCACTCTGGTGGTCAGGTCGCCTAACCGCTCGGACCTACGTGTGCGGTAGAGTAGAGACACAGTGTCTAGCGCTGCAGCTACCAGGGCAGACGAATGGTACATCAAGTCTGCCTGCGGGAATATTCAGTATTAAAATAAAATCTTAGGAAGGTATCCTGTTTTTTTGTCCCTCCTTCCCTTTGTAAGAAGCTAGGCTCTGGCAAGGTTCCGTTTTCAAAATACTTCAGGCTAGGCATAGAGGTTTGGTGTATTGGGAATACAAATTTCAAATTGTATATATCAGTGCTTGATTCTTAAATACTGTATATGATGATAAAATAGACTGGACTGAACTAAAAGTGAAAGTATGCCAAGTGACTGAGCACCTACACTCATGTACTAATAGCCAACAATATAAAAGGCATTCTGTCTCTTCTACACTGCAGTCTACTAAATCTACTTTTAAAAATGGGAACACTTGGAGGGAAAATAAAATTCAATTGATATTGATTTTAAAAATTTTGTTTTTATAAATAATTTGAAATAACTTGTACACAAAAGACAACTTATCTTTGATAGTTGTAACTTTTGGAGTAGTGAATTATCTGTTTGGAATAACTTATTTTTTTACAAATCTAAAATTGCTTACCTTATAATTGAGATGAGGCATAGTGACTGGATGTCCTAAATCCCTCCAAGCCCCAGTAGACCCACTGACTGGAGTGAACAAACTCGATAGCTCAGATAAACTGGACAATGCTAGGGCCTGATTCAAAATTCTGAAACAGTCAATGGAAATTCAGTTAACACTCCTTGATGAAGGGTGTTTGATTACCGTAAATGTTTCATCACAACAGGCCTACTGGTATTTAGGAGCAAAGAAAAGAAAACTTCCAAAGACTTATTGTATACAGCTGGACCATTGAGCATTCAATTTAATAGGTTTGGAATTTTTTACGAAACTGAAGAGTTTATTGCACACAAGCTTTTTGATAAAGCTTAAATCTTCCTTACTGAATCTTGTGGGCCTGAATATAGTAATAGCCTAATTTGTTATGTTTCTAGTCTAATATTCTCACCTGACAGAGTCTTGCTTGGTCGTAGTTTGATTGCTGGGTGGTTGACAGGCGACACAGAACACAGGTTTGGAAGGATATTCGTCCCTCAGGTGCTGTAGAACTCCACAAGATAAACCAGCAAAGCCATTGTAGCTGTCCAGCAACATTTGGTAACCCTGAAATCACACAGTTAAGACAGTGACATTTTGAGAACGCATTTCAAACATTTTTATCCAATGGATCTGTTTATATACATACTGTCGTAACTTAGCCGTTACAACACAAAAGTGGACAAAGTAATAAGAGAACCACTTACGATCATTGGTGGACATAGAAGAAGGAGCCGTGACGAAGCATCCCACTTCAGGGCTGAGTGCACAGTGCAGCCCGCAAAAATAACTCTTCTGTTACTAATAATTTATAACCAACTCTACTGCTCATATGAAATTGTAATTACTAAATAAAAATACTTAAGCCATTGAATGATCTGGTGTCTGTCAGGCGACCAAGGTTTAGGTTTAGAACCTACGGGTTCATTTTCAAGATTATTACCAAGTAATACTAAAAACAACGTAGCGCAACGTAACGTTGTGTATTGTTTTTTACCATCGTGATGGAAAATGTCCGCTATAAACCTTTGAACAAAGAATTACCAAGTAGTTGAAAAAATCCTCTCCATCACTGGAGCAATGAAGAGGAGTCACAGACACAATCAATTTTTCAAAACTGTACTGAAAATTAATACTAATAGCGGACCCACACGTCGTGTAGCCAGTAGATGGTGAATTATGATTGTCACAGTATTACTATTTAGAAATATCGGTGTTATATGTTTCATGTTTGAAGTAAATTTCTGAACTAAATCTACACAGTATTTCCTATGGAAGAAGTCCCATGAAAGCGATATATCAAGTAGGCCTACATACGTTGTAAACCTTTTGTATGCTATTAACTGCCTGGGACTCTTAGGTCATTTGTTTTAATACCCATTCTTTCTTCCTTTATGTAAACTATAAAGTAAACAATAATCATTCCCACAGTAAGTAAATTTAACATAATCTTTTTCATCCTTTCATCTTTAAAAGTACAAAAACCTCAAACAATTAGGACATTCAACCTTCCATTTGTAGGTATTGCCTAGGTTCCTACCTGCAAATTATCTGTCTCCTCCATGTACAGGCGGATTCGGTCGGAAAACTCCTCGTTGAATCCCGGTACCGCCCACTGCGCTAGTCCTTGTGGCACTGTTTCAAAGGGGCTGGTCGTATCTCCATGGCGATACTCGTGTACCACGTTAACAGTTCGGGGATGAAGGTGTGGACGCAGAAAGTCTGGCCATGATTTCACTGAGTCATCAAGGTTGTAAAGTTTCGGCACTGCCAGTCCGCTCTCCTTCAGCCCTGTAGAGTTTTAAACTGAACAAATGAAACCAGCCAACAACACACAACAATAATGTGAAACGTTGTTGACTAAGAGAGTTGTACAAAGCCAACACACCAGGTTGTATTTTAAGGTGAGGATGAGTTGAATACTGAGTGTTGAATGAATGAAATCCATTGAATATTTTTGAAACCAAGCATGGCCCAAACCACCGTACCTAACCAACGGGCACAACAATGGAAAAAATTTAGTCATAAAATGTGCATATACACTGTCTCACAAATATGGTAATATCTTTGTTGTTTATAAACAGATTTTTACGATTGACGTAGGCTGTCATTGAATCAGTCATTAAATTTTCTACATACGTATACTCGTATACTCCTTAAAACTTTAAATAGACACCATTTTGGATTGGCACAATTTAGATCTGATACTTTGTGCTAATATTTGCCCTATTTGTCACTAGTTTTGTACTGAGATTGAAGTCAATTGTTTTAGTGGTTCAGAATTGAGATAGAAACTAAAGATTACCACAACAGATTACCAATACTGTAATTACGTTTGATCCAAGCTAACTTTAAATTATATGGATACTCCGTCATACTAATAATAATTTAATGGTTTGGTCATCAGGCTTCTTAAAAAAAGTTAGATGTGACTACGCATACACGTGCCATGTACTGGTCGGCCGTAAATACGATAATTTCGTACAATAATTTACTTCCATTTTATATGTTTTAAATTTATTGTTTGTTTTTATGTGTTCACCAACGACCTCAACTTAAGTGAAATGATATTTTTTTTAAGAAGCCTGATGGTGAGATTTTGTTCTTAAAACCGGTACCTTAGATGGCAGTAGGATTACTGTCGTACAAGGTAACTTAAACCATTTAATTCTACAAGTTATCCTGGACCACTCAGCACAATAATAATAATTTTATAAACTATCATCATACCATTAGGAAGTGTGGCAGCCGACGTTTCTGCCTGTTCCAAATCTAGCTGAAACTCGTTTTTTGGTTCACTTGACTCACTGGTAATCTCCACCTTACAGTAGGAAAACACTATTAAAACACAAACAAATTAACAATAATTACCGTACTCATAAAAAATCAGTAAGGTCTACACTCTTAACTGTTTAAGAGGGAGATGATGAGGCCGGGCTGCAGTAGCAACGCTCTTTAAAGTGCATGGGCTTAAATCACTTAACCTACTTTATAAAATTAATTGCATGCTATCAATTGTAGGCTCAATCATTTACACACTGTTGGGTAAAATTTGGTTTTTCCAATTGTTGAATCTAAATATAAAATTTCACAATTACTTTTGAAAACATTGTGCATGGCTTAAAATAAAAACCAATTTTTATACTGAATCAATAATTTAGTATGCTGAAGCGTTGTTGTGCGCCAATTGTCTACAGAGGAATTATAAAAAAAATGTACTTTTGAAACAGTTTAGCGTTAGTCTTGAGAATAATGACTAAGCTATTAGCATTTCACTCAAAACACACTCATTTCCTTCCCTGTAGCAGCAAACCTAAGTAACATAATTTAATTTTTATAGGGAATGAATCTGACATGTTAAAGGAAATATTTGAGTAAACATCTTATCAGACAAATGGAAAGTTGCTTAGTCTGCAGGTTTCTGAGGCGGGGGAATACTTACACAGTCCGGGGGCCACAAAGGCAAGTTGCGGTCAGGTCTGGGAGGAGGTTCGTATAGTGAACCACACTCAGGGAGAGCTCCCAGAGATCCTTTGAGATCCACCAGCAACAATCTTGGAGTGTACGTAACCTCACGCTGCACATACATAGTCAAACATTACCTCCTCATGTCCAGGGATAGAACCCCACATTCTCATGTTGAAGTTTTAACAAGTTTAAGAATTAAAATGATCATAGTTGAAATCAGCCACCGACAGAGTGTTTGACCGCAGCACCAATGGGAATGTTGGTTATAATTTGATACCATGAATAGTAGTATCTGACAAAAAGTGTCAGTAGCCACAAACTTAAAACCATTCCAGTGTAGATAACATTGTATAAATTCTGCTGAATAGGTGACTGGGTGAGTCATATCTGTCATGGCTGTGTGTATTCTGTACAATTTGTCTGCTACATATTTAACAAGCTCAAATGTGATTTGAAATTATTTCGTAAGTAAGAACTAAGAAGTAAGAACAGACTTAGAGAATTTAGACATAATTTTAGACTATAGCACACTCTGTAATTGTATCATTAGTAACTGCTGTCCATATGGATGTATTTATAATGTACCGTAGGCCTACATAAAATAATGTCACAGTACTTGAAACTGAAACACAACTAAAATGCTTAAGACAATTTAAAGCGTTGCACAAAAACAGCAAAATAACATTTTTAATACTTTGCTTAATATTTTTTATTAGGTACAATTTTATCAAAAGAATTTGAGTTATTAACTTAAATCCAAGCTTTTTGGCTACACCTGCAAAAAAGTAGGTAATGAACCCAGAAAAATATATTTTTAGCAAATCTTCTCACAGATTCCTCAGTTGATTTGTATCTGTAAATCATAGCTGATTGCTGACAATACAAGTATTTTTAATTAATAGTAGACACTATAAACTCACCCTTTGTGTCTGGCCTTCTCTAAACAACACATCATTATTTATTTCTGACTGTGAATCTTGGTCAAAAATGAATCCACCTTCCTGAAAAACAACAACAAATTTATCATTATGAAAGACATATTCATCAGATCTAGGGATCTTAAAACTGAAACTGAATCTTTAAAATGTTTCTAGTTGTTGGCAAAGGCAGATAGTAATCACAGGTTGCATAAAGTGTAGGTTGCAAGAATTTTTTTGATTGTTATTCCGTTGTTTATCCCAGGCAAATTAGATGTATGCCCCTTGAAAAATTGTTTAAAGCTGGATAGTGTTTTAATACCTTCAGGAGGTCCCAAATAATGGTCCTCTGAGTTTGCGACAGAAGTCTGAATTTTTGGGAGTCAAAAACTATTAATATTTGTACTTTTTCAGTTGTTCACCAAGTCTATAACTCTTAAACGATGCATCCTACGGAAATGTTTGTTGTTTTGTCTTAATGTGAAGTTAATTATGCATCTATTGGTGTTAAATAATGTTAAAATCAGCCAAGCCATTTAGCCACAGTAGCTTTGCAGCAAGATAGTAGCTTTGACCAAGATGGCTAAAACGATGATTCTTTGTCCCGTTTACAGCTTACAACTCCTAAACAACGCATGCTTCTGAAAAATATACAGGTCTGTATGTAGTTTGAAGAACATAAAGTTTTGCGTAGAATGATTTTTAAATCATCAAGATCGGTTCAGCCACTAAACCACAATTAATTGTTAAATTTGAGTTATTTCTTCAACTTTGGTTTGGCAGCTTGGCCAAAACGTTGATTTTGCCCCTTAAATGGATTACCGGTATGAATTAATTAACTGTATTAGATAGTGTTTTATTCTATGGTAATCATCCAGAGGTTTACCCTAGAAGGAGTGAAGATAGACCTTCAATGTAATTTTAAGTCTATATTGAAATCTGCGGTTCCAGAAATTCTAGGATTCGTCAATATAACCTCCTTTTTAATCGATACATCCATGGACACTTCAAAATTATGATATGCGAAAAATGTAAATAACTTCTTGATCAGCATTGTACGTGTTATTAAATTTACGGAAAGTAAATGAAAGTGTCTTATAACACTTAAAACATATATTTACGCTTATACTATTATTCACAAAATGGTACATATACAAAAAAGATGGTAAGTGGTGATCGATTTCGATTGGACACTCCAATCATCATCAGACCCAATAGGGGAATGACAAGAATCTTGAATGGCGTCCCTACTTACCCTATTGGCTACCGGAAGCACCGGCCAATACATTTTTATAAGTACCCTACAACTGGAATAGGAAATATACTTGTTCATTAATAAACTTATTTCAATTTTTACATTTTTCCTTATAAATAAATTGTTGCTGCTGTTGTTGTTGTTGAGTTGTTGATGGAATTCTCTTTTTGCAAGATCGAGTTGTCATTCCACAGAGCCTTATAAGTTCAATTTTGAGAGAACTTCACACAACACATATCAGTCAGTATAATATAATGAAACAACTTACAAGGCGGTATGTGTAGCCTACTTAGAAGGGATGAACCATGACATAGAAGACCTATTTAAAAAGATCTTGTGAAATATGTGCTAAGCTCCGTAACAACCACCCGAAGGTTGATAGTACACCCGTGGGATTAGCCTCACTCTAATTGGAAACCTCTAAATATAGACTATGCAGTTCCTTTTAAAGGTCATCATTTTCTAGTTGTTATTGATGCCAAGTCAAAATTAGCAGAATCCCGAGTCATCAGATATTCTCCTACAACTGAAACAACACACACTTCAAGAAGTATTTTCATTCCATGGTTACCCCAATTCATTGGTCATAGATTTATAATTCATCAATTTTCAAAAGCGATGTATTCAAATAATTCTGCATTGATCATGGTATTAACCGAAAATTCATTGCCCCAAGTCATCCAGCTACAAATGGATTACCCAAAAGAAAAGTTCAAACTGTGAAGAAACGTTTAAAATCAATGACAAGTGAAAAGGCCACCAAGTTAGAAAAGGTCAGGAAAATGCTTCTACGCTACAGAGCTACACCACTTGCATGTCGGATAAGCTCAGGAGAGCTTTATTTGCACAGAAGATTAAGAATATCTAGAGCTGGATGCCATATTTCCTATTCCAAAGAAGGGAAAAAAAGAAGTTAGGCTGACAAACCATGTAAGATTGATGAGAGTAGGAGGTAGAGCCCAAGTTCGTCTCTTTACTCTGAAAATGCCAAGATCTAGAAATGTGGAACCATCAAATCTAAACTGGGCTCTCAGCATTACATGGTAAAGCTTGACTCTTTATCAGAAGGCATATCAATCAACTCGAATAAGAACGAGAGTACCGCCTAAAATGACAAATCAACGGGGAGAAGATAATCAAAGACGTCCCACTAATCAACAGTCAGAAAATAAAGACCTAGGCCTAGGTTAAATATTCCAGGGGTACCAGCATTACAACGTTCTACAATCAGTGGTTCTACCATTGTGAGTCATAGGCTACAACGATGTACCACAACTGGCCAAATACCAGTAGGTGGAGGCTCAACATCCTGAATGTGACATCCAGATTCCTGATGAAGTTGAGTCACCTCAGTTACGTAGATCAACACATGTTCGACAACCGCCAAGTTACCTTGAGGCTTATGTGTGAGCTCGAACTTATCTGGGGAAGATTGTTATAATTTCTAATCTAGACTACCGGTACATAATATTAAGAAAAAATATTTTAGGAAAAAATTAAGAACTTTGTTATCACACCTTATTTTTTCCCCTTGTTAAAGCATTAAGTATTTTTATTGTTTTTTTGTTGCATGTGTTTTTTTTATCGGTTCAAAGAAAGTCGCTCCATGACATTTTTTTAAGCTTAGGTATATTCCATAATTTTTTATTGTAGGCTAATTGTGTATATTGTTATCAACAGTAAAGACTCTGCCAGTAACAACATTGTACAATTACATGTACAAAGGTTTCCTTGCACGTGCGTGTGATCAAGAGGATGTGTCATCTACTCTAACCTAACCCAACCGTTAAAGTATTACCGGTATTGAAAAAAATAGAGTTGTGGGCACTTAACAGATTTTGACCGATTAATATTTAATTTGGTTTAGGCCTACCCAAAAATGGGTAATTTTTGGCACTTTGCTATTATTTACGACTTTTCAAACCTGATTTTCTGGGTACGGGTAGGTACCGGTAGGTAATTAAAAATGGCGAAGAAAAAAGTGTTTGAAATGGCCTAAAAGAATAATAAGAAAAACACATAGAAAGTAAAAAAAGTTAATTTGCAAGCACCAAAAATCTTTGATTTCTAGCGCTTTTTGCAATGTTCAAACGCAATTTTTTGGGTGAAATAACTTTGGACTCTTTTATGCACGGCGTTTTCCGTCCGGCGGAATCTATCAGAATCTATTGGGTTACCCGTCGGTGAGTGTTTTAACATTGGTTCAAATGGGACCCTTTTATGCGGAATCTCCGTCGCGTTTCAGCATTCCTTCGGGAGCCGGCGGAGGACCTACACTCCGCTGAGTTTGGGCATTTTGACAGAGCGTTTTTTTACATAGGTTCAAATGGAACCCTTTTATGCAACTGCGTTTTCCCTCGGGTGGAATGCAGCGCTGCCAACCTACCCCACGCTCTGTCATCCACAGTACCCTATTGAACAAAATCACCTAGAATCATTGTAAAGAGATTAAGTTATCATTATTCATTGTTACGGATTGAAAAGTACAAATAAAGAGATGTAGGTAATTGGGAAAAAAATTACTGCGTGAGAATTAAGTTATATTTTTGTTTAAATCCGTGGAATAATACAAACTTACTGTTTTGAAGGAATAAATAATACTTACGACTTTTGTATTCCCAGGACTGACATGGGAATTTTTGTATCAAAGGTAGGCCACCTATCACCTGGGATTGAAATGGGATTTTTTGTATCAAAGGCAATCAGCATCACATTGGCAACCCTGCACAGTACTGCCAACACTTTCGTTGCTTGCTGCCAACCTACCCCACCCTTACAGTTACCAAACAAGGATCCAACTTGGGTCACTGACGATGGCAAAATGAACAAAGTTGGCAGCACTGACACTCCCCACCATGGGTATCAGCGGATTTTGCTCGGCAGAGAAACTGCATAAAAGGGACATCGATTGTGCCCGACGATTTCGCCCGACCGAAAACGTTGTGCATATAAGACATAAGACATAAGACATATTTTATTTACACAATACGTTCTTTATAAAGTAGGCTACATTTCATACATAAGAACAGGTGTTTCGTCATAGTGATGTATTATATAGTAAAATTAATAGTTAAAATAATTAAAATAAACTCATGTAGGATATCAGAGAATTTTTATCTACATTATAGGGTTCTCCAAAAATTCGTCAAGTGAATAGTAGGCTTTCTCAATTATTTTATCTTTTATTTTATCTTTGAATTGAGTAGCATTTAAATTTTTAAGATACAGGGGTAATTCATTGTACAATCTAAGTCCCATATATTGAGGGCTGTTCCTAAAAGTCGTCAATTTGTGATGTGGTAATCTGAAATTATATTTATTCCTTGTATTATAATTATGTGTAAATTTGACTGCATCTGACAAATTTTCCTTAGTGTTATGTATCCAATTTAGAATTTCATTTATGTATAATCCAAAAATGGTGTGAATTCTAAGATTTTTAAACAGGTTTTTACATGATTTTCTCCTTCTTGATTTGGTTAAGATTCTAATAATTTTTTTCTGTAAAATTAGTAGGGATTTGACTTCTGTTGACACTCCCCACAGTATGATTCCATACCTCAAGATGGATTCAACGTATCCATAGTAAACTGTGATACATGTATCCTGAGGTACACAGTTTATCAGGTGAAAGAAAGCAAAAGAAATAGATCTTAGTTTGCCTTTCATCTTATCTATGTGAATCTTCCAATTAATATGAGTATCAAGCAATACACCCAAAAATCTATGAGATTCTACTAAATTTGGAATTTTATCAAGAATTACATTGTTTTTTAAAGAAAATTTAATTATATGAGTTTTGTCAATATTCAGCTTTAAACCATTATCTGTAAACCAATTTTTCATACAATCCAAAGTGTTTTCTATTGATACAATTAAGTTATTTACTGAATCCTCTTTTATGATTGCTGTTGTATCATCAGCAAATAAGATTAAATCTCTGCCAATAGCTTTTGGAAGGTCATTAATAAAGATCAGGAAAAACAGAGGGCCCAATATTGACCCTTGAGGTACACCATAATTAGATAAATTCCAGTTTGACATATGTTTCACACCGTTTTTGGTCACTATTGTTCTATACTTTCTGTTCTGTAAATAAGAGTCTAATAAAGAAAAACTTTTACCCTTTATACCGTAGTCTTTTAATTTAGAAAGCAAAATTGAATGATCCACACAGTCAAAGGCCTTAGACAGGTCACAGAAAACACCAGCAGTAGTTTCAGACCTGTCCAAAGCCTCTGTAACATCATTGATAAATTCAATCAGTGCACTGTTGGTGCTGAATGTCTTTCTAAACCCAAACTGTTTTTCATAAAACAAATCATTGCTGTTAAAATAGTTTACTAGCCGGAAATTGATAACTTTTTCAAATATCTTTGAAAAATTACTTAAAACAGATATTGGGCGGTAGTTATTTATATCGGTTCTAGCCCCTTTTTTGTATATCGGAGTAATATGAGAGTATTTCAATTTTTCCGGGAAAATACCACATTCAAAACATTTATTAATTATATCTGAGAGGGGTTCAGCAATTTTATTTGCTACTGCTTTGATGAGTGAAATGGGAACTTCATCCCAACCCACCGATGTCTTATTTTTCAAAGAAAATATTATTTTTAAAATTTCATTTTTGTTGGTTGGTTCAAAGTTGTACAGTGAACACCCCTTTATATCCACAGATATTTTCATATTTGGATGGACACCCTTTACAATAGGATTTGGCAAGTTTAAGCTATTAACAACATTTAAAAAAAAAAGAATTAAAAGTTTTGGCAACAACATTTTGGTCTTCAATTAATTCATTATTAGAGACTTTTAATGAAATATGATTGCCACAACTATCTTCTTTTCTAATGCCTAATTCGTTATTTACAACTTTCCACATAGCTTTTGGTTTATTTAATGCATTATTTATATATTTGCTGTTAGACCTTTTTTTAGAACTGTTTACAACTTTACGAAATATCTTTTTATAAGACTTTACATAGTTAAGAAAAATTGGGTCTGTACTGGTTTTGGCTTGCCAATGCAACTCATATAAAAGAGGCCTTAAGTTTAGCCGTTTCCCCAAAATTGCCAAGAGGAAAAAGTGTTTAATCTAGCCTAATTTTGGTAAACTTTACTTAGATAAGGTAAAAAGATTGCAATAAGTTAAGTTAGGTAGCCTAAGTTATAACAAGTTCAGTTTAAAACCGATGTGCTCGATTAGCCTATGCCGTAACCACGGAAGATGTTCTCCATCTTGCCGTGACCACACAAGATGTCAACGATTTTGCTGCAACCTCAGAAAAGTGTTAAAATAACGATTTGGCCGTGTCCATGACGATCGCAATATCACACACCATGACCACAAACTAAAACTAGGGCTTCTTAGTGCGAGTTCAAAATTCCTGCATAGTTCCTGAATCAATAAATTTACGCAAACTTCCCCGAATTTTCATTCTATGGGGTTACCCTGGTAGGGTCTCAAAGGGGGGGGGGCTCGAGCCCCCTTTGGACCATCATAAGTCTGAACCTAAAATTTAATCTAAGAGTTAAAATCTGGACTGCAATAAGTTAGGCCTAGGCCTAGGAGACACTAACTAACCTGACAATTCCACCAATGGGTTCCGATGAAATTTGCATAGTGACCAATTTGAAAGGAGATTATTTCACTTCCGGAGTACATTTAGTCAATAAAATAGTTTTCATCAACCAACTAAAAATAAGACTATTGTATTGTGGGGACTGGACCTGAAAGCTTTTTATTTATTTATTAACTTTGCTTGCAGACACTAACCTCTAAACCTCAACTTCGTATCGTAAATATTTTCAAATTTCAGTCTGATGATCTGAGCTGAGTGAGTGATCTCAAATCACTCGACACTGACTGATCTGACCTGACTCGACTCACTGACGAGTGAGGACTGAACTGAGACTGGACTGACTGACTGGTCTGGTCTGGTGGCTGGTCAGCGTCAGCAGAGTGAGACTGTGAGAGTAGCGGAAACGGAAACGAAAACAGGAATGAGGAAACTGCATGAAAGTATGAAAGTGCTGCTGAAATCCTCCTAGGCTGACACTTGACTTGACGATACCAAAGACAAATAAACGGTATCACCATTCTGACCAATTCTGACCACTGAGCTAAAATTATATCTGGAGGTAGCGCTGCCATGGCAGAAGTCTGTCAAAAGCGTGTCTCTGATTTTGTTAGGTTGGTATAGCAGCGAGTTTTCTTATCATAGCAATAACATGGCTTCTATAACTAGGTTGGTATAGCAGTGAGTCTTTTTATCCAATAACATGGCTCCTTATAAACTCACACCTCACGCAAACATGGCGGCTGGCGACACGCATTTTTGACTTTCAGTGCTACCTCCAGTTAAAATTATAGCTCAGTGATTCTGACACATACTTTCTGTCATTTTGTCAACAACCTTTATCATGTGTAAGAGGTAAGAGATTTGTAAAATTTTGTTCAGAATTTAAAGGAAACATACTAAATTTTTATCAAAATCGTTCAGGCCATTTTTGGGAAAATCCGATTTTTCCGTTATTTTATGGGGTTTTTATGGGAAAATAACATAATTTACAATAACCTTTGTACCGTAATTTTTACAGAAATGGGATTTGTACCATTTTGTTCAGAATATAAAGGACTATAACATACTAAATTTTTATCAAAATCGTTTGGGCCATTTTTGGGAAAATCCTATTTTTCCGTTATTTTATGGGGGTTTATGGGAAAATCCCCATTAAAAATCAAAATGTATAAAAAATGAAAAAAATCTATCAAAATTGTAAGGACCATAACATACTATGTTAAATCAAAACCAGATTTATTTCTAAAATCCTATGTTTTTTTTTTGTTTTATTGGGATTTTATGGGAAAATAACATAATTTACAAACAATAACTTTTGAACCTGAAAGTATGAAAGTGCTGCTGAGTGAGTGCTGACACTTGAGACGATACCAAAGACAAAAAGTGGGAGTTGATAAAAAAAAACTGTCCCGGCGTCGCGTCGTTGTCCTGTCCTGGGTCCTGTTCGCACAATTTGTTTTTCAGGATTAATTTCGCCAACAGTGTCATTTAGAGGCTTCTGATGGACTATAAAGGCCCGTTCACACGGGGCGAGTTTACAAGCTACACGCCAGCGTGTAAGAAGCCGGCGAGTTGGCGAGTGTGCTTGTATTCGTTCACACGGAGCTTGTCCACTCGCCAACTCACAGACGTGTAGAAAGACGCCGGCGAGTCAGCGAGTGCGCTTGTAGTCGTTCACACGATGCTTTTTCCACTCGCTCAGTAGCTGGCTTGTACCAAATCCTCCAACATCTTTGAGTAACAAGCGCACAAGCACAAGCAACTGTGTTCACACTGGGCTACTTTACACGCCTACTCGCTCAAAAGCTGGCGAGTTGGCGTGTAAAGTAGTGGCAGCGTCAACTTTTTCCAGAGCTTTTTTACAAGCAGCTTTTGAGCGAGTACGTCGTTCACACTGAGCTATTTTACTAGCTGCGTGTAAAAAAGCCGGCGTAAACTGCTTGTAAACTCGCCCCGTGTGAACGGGGCTTAACGAAGGTTTAGTAAGTGAAAAATTATTTTTGTTCATAGAATAAAATTAGAAATGCCTCAAATTTAATTTTATATTTTTTATTATGAAATTAAACCGTCATAACCTAACCAAACCAACCAAACGTGCTGACAATGAAAAAATTTAATGAAGGTTTTTATCGAAAAAAATAGTTCTGTTCATAAAATAAAATTATAAATGCCTCAAATCCTATTTTTTATTCTAAAATTTAACTATCATAACCTAACCAAACTAACCAGACTTGCTAATAATGAAAAATCAAATGAAGGCTTAACAGAAAAAAATATTTCTGTTCATAAAATAAAACTATAAATGGGTCAAATTCAATTTCATAATGTTTTAATTATAAAATTAAACCGTCCTAACCTAACCAAACCAACCAAACTTGTTGATAATGAAAAAAATCCAGTACAAAAAATAGTGCTACAGATGGCATTCGAACCGCAAGGCTCCAACCTTGGACCAGTATTGTTTCTGATCTATGTCAACGATTTACACGACTCTTTATCTGAAGGGAAAGTGTGGCTCTTTGCTGATGATGTGAGTCACTTAGTTCAGGACAGTGACCTGGGTAGGCTAAGAGACAAGGCACAAACTGGCCTAAATGAAATGAGCGGATGGTGTAAAGAAAACGATCTTATACTAAATAGGAGTAAAACTAAGGCTATACAATTCTACAACCGTAAGAAGCCTGAAAGCACACCACTACTTCGCCTTGAGGCAGCTAGTATCGTTGTAGATAACTCTATTAAGTATCTTGGTCTGACAATAACCAGTGACTTAAAATGGCAGAACCAAGTAAACGCCACAGCAGCAAGACTGAAAGCTGTGTGTCACATGGTACGTAGGCTGCAATTGATAGTTGATCAAGCTGTACTGTTGAAAGTTTATTTTGGATGCTTCCATAGCATAATGAATTATGGTGTGATATTTTGGGGGAATAGTCCCTTGGCGGAGCGTATATTTTTGCTTCAAAAACGCATAGTAAGAACAATTGCGAGAGAACCCTACTTATCACATTGTAAACCAATCTTTATACAACTGAATATACTCACACTGCCTGCTCTGTTCATTCTTGAGTCTGCAGTGACAGTTAAAAGGAAGCCAGAACATTTTCAAAAAAATCAACAAATCCATAACTATTCAACGAGGCAGAAGGAAATGTTACATGTACCACAAGTTTCATCCAGTTTAGTGAGAGATGGACCAAGACCTACATGCATAAGAATTTACAATAAAATTCCAGCTGCCATAAGGGAAATTGAAGATGCGGAGAAGTTCAAATCCAAGTTTAAAGAATATTTAACGACTAGGCCTTACTACTCAGTAGAAGAGTTCTTAAATCAAGAATAGGCCAAAACTTTGACGACCATGGCACACCCGTGCTACTAATGGGATACCTACAAGTATCAAGTAACCCGGGACCTTCGGATCGTCAGCCCAGCACTCTATCCACTATACCACCGAGACCGTTGACATCAATCGTATCGTTGCTGTAATGATGTTCCCTCAGGCAATCAGAAGCCTCAAAATAATACTGTAGGCAACACTGATCCTGAAATAAAAATTCAGCGTCCTGCCCTGTTCCTGTTCCTCCTCTGTCGCGTCGCGGTTAAGCTGTCTCAGCTCAAGATGCATGGAGTAAAAGAGGTGGGCCAGACAGAGCGGACTGCGCGCGATGACGTCACTGCAGTCCCGGCCGCGGCTGCCTCGCCGCTAGATACATGCTAAACGCACAAACCTACTTTTTCAGACACGATTTAAGCTGGTTTGGAGGAAGCATTTCTCGTTTATGACTCAAATATCATTGTGTACTAAATAAGGATTTTTATGATTTTGAACTAACATGAATTGTGAACAGTTTGACAATAGTAAATAACCAATTAGGCCTGTATGTTGCATAGAAAGCGATGAAATGCGGGAGTCTACCGATTCAGTTGGAATAATAAATACACTTTAGAATAATTTTAGAATAAGATATAACACTCCCCTTTTCCAGGTTAGTTAATAAAATATATGTTTAGCACTAGGTAAAAAAGTTGCCTGTTTAAAAGTTACTTCAACTGCTTTTTGGTATTAGTTATAAATGAAACGCCATCCTTTTTCATTTTTAATTTCTTCTTTTTCTATTAAATTTAATGTTAAACTTATTTGGGTTTGTTGATACAAAAAAAAAAAAACCAACAACCAATTATATAATATTTTATATGAGAATCATAAATGTTGCTTACAAATCAAAGTCAACTACGATACTGCAAACTATTTTACAGGAATTAAATAGACCACAAAAATCTGTTTGGATAGATGGCATTGACCAAAGAATACTCTCAGAGAATACTAATGATTTCCCCCGAGAAAAATATTAATTACTTTTGTAGGCCTATATACATATATATTTCATTTTAGACTTTATTATTTTTGTGTTAAGAGGATTTTCTCTTTTATGTAAGTGCACGTTTGTTCGGTGTTTTTATACGAGTTTACTTTCTGAAAACTTTACTTTACTTTCTGAGATAAAAATGCTAGATATGCGGTTTGCTCTAGCTATATTTAATGACGGTTACCTATGACTAAAACTCAATCCGACATAAGAGTCATATTTTATTCGCCAAAAAAATACGCTTTGTCTTTATTGAAAGGTGCAAAAGAAACGATTTTTGGATTTCAAAAATTTGTATATTTGTTTATTTTGAAGATGTTTAAAGGAATTAATTTAATGATTATTGGGTTTGGGGAATGTTAAACATTCGTGAGCCCAGAATCAAACTTGTATCTTCTGAAAACAGTATTATCGCAGTGATGCGAAGGAATGCTTGACAAAACGAAAATTCAGAAAACTTTACCCGGGAAACAAAAAAAATTTGCAATCTACACCGTAATGTAGGCTAAATGAAAATTGAGAGTTTGGAAAAGGAATTTTTTAAATTGAAAATTAAATATATAAAATGCTTTGATGAATAAATGGTCCTGTGAAGAAAGTTAAGACATTATGTCATACGCCATAAAGTTAATTGTTTACCACTAGACCATTTTGAGCTATTTGTTCAAAGAAGAACAGTAGAGTTTAATGATATTGAAGTTTTTTAAACAGGCAAAAACAAATGAACGGCAACGAAAAATAAAAAATAATCAACTAAGAAACGTCATCGTCGCAGTACTAAATTTAAGAGTAAGTAAAAGATTTCGAGAACTCTAATAACGCAATGTATGTTTATATCTGATTGCATGTCCAATGGTGAGAGATACACCTTGTAAATAAAGTGTTTTATTTAAAATGTGTTTTCTTTCCATTCATAAAAATATAAACCTCCATTCCTAATTACACTAATCTAATAATGATTGTACATTACCAAAAGCTACTTTTATTTGGTATATCTGTATAGTGAAAAATGTTTGTTTGATTTAATTAATAATTTTAAAAATCCCAAGGGTACCTATCTAATTTAGTTACTAATATATTCATGAACCAGTTAAGTAGGCTATCCTTAAAATATATACATCATAAAATTAGATGCTATTTACCGGATCAGAGTATAATATATAATAATTTTATATCCTTAGTGATATAACAACAATTGCAGAAATGGACATCAATTTAATCAACAATTGCTCTAATATTTTAGTAGTAATATAATAAGGAATAACATATTAATATATTGAAACCCAAGCAAAACCAATTTTAACAATTGCGTAGTACAAACTGGCGTAAACAACGCAATATAACATCTAAAAGTGTTGTGTACGGGCTGTGAGTAGTGGCTCGAGGACTGCAGTGACGTCACTGCCTCAGTCCGATAGGCGAGGGGGGGAGAGGGGCGCGCTCTGTCTGGCCCACCTCTTTTACTCCATGCATCTTGGTCTCAGCTGTCTGTCATTGCATTGATTGTCATCGTCATTTTCCCTAGGCCTAGGTGGAGTGAATTGGTTTTCTTTCAGTATCAGTCTCAGTGTTTACTTAATACTTTAATTACTGTTTTGTTTTTAGTAGTGTATAGGCCTAGTTGTTTCAGAGAGACTTAACAGGTTCTTGTGCACGCTTATCCAAGAGTAAGTAATTGGATTTTGGATTTATAGGTTAACTAGGCTAATTCGCAGAGGATACCGGACGTGCATTTGGCTATTTACTGTCCTAACCTTACTTAACTAACCAAACTTGCTGATAGTGAAAAAATCGAATGACGGTTAAATTCTGTTCACAAAATAAAATTATAAATGCCAAAAATTCTAACAAAATATGTAGGTCTAACTTACAGTTAAGAAGAAATGGCATTCAAGGCGAAATCTTCTACAAAAGTCAAGGTTTACCGATGGGAGGGTACACTTCCATATCTGTTGGCACAAACAACCGTTGTAGTAAGTTACCTAATATTGATTGCCGGTATTCGATTGTTTAATTCGATATTGGCATATCTATCGATATTTTCATTCGTCTGTTTGTGCTTACAGATATGGAAGTGTACTCCGATGGGGTTCGAAGCAGGTAGGCCTACCTTTTGCATATCAGACGAGCACTCTATCCACTACACCGCGAACACCGATGGCTGTACTTTGTTGTGGTAATGTCGTTCCGGGCCCCCACAATCCGGTGACGGGTGACGTCACTGCCGGACGCCTAATCCACGTCCGGTTACCGGACGCGTATCCTCTGTGTAATTAATACTGCCTATTGTTGCTAGTAAGCTTATAGGGGGTCGAACTGCACAAGTATTTATACATGCTTTATGCAAATTTAGTAATTTGTAGTGTTTTTCTCAGGAATTTAATTTTAAGAAAACAGTCAACTTACCAACTCGATTCATTTAGCCTAACCCAAACTTAACCTTCCTAATTTAACCTAACTTCACTTAACCTGACTGCACTTAACTTAATGCAGTCATGAATTCACGTAGTTAAAGCACGACCTACCACCCTTGACATTCCTAAATAAGAACTACATGTAGCCTAATTAGTCCACTAGTCCATCTATATATCTCCACAATGTGACGAAATTACTTTTTTAGAAAAAAATATTGATTACAGAATCACTTGAGAGGTTTCTAAAGTTTATAGTCAACAATGTTATTATGTTATATCAACGATGTTTATTTTTATCATCAACCATATTACTCTCTTCACTTAAAAAACCTTAACTTGTGACGGGAGTGTCTTGTCGTGTGGTTAAAAAGAGTCGGCTGTAGGCTTAGTTAACCCACAGTTCATTCCACTTGTAAATTAAATGCCATCCATCCTACCTTGTTTATTGTAACTTAATGTTGTATATTTTTACGGCAATATTTTAAGAAATATTCATCAGCGGTGAAAAGTAATTGTATATTTGGATTCAGGAGGTAAAAAACTATAAAGTAAGATACTAAAATGAAAAGTTTGTTATACTAACAAAATATCAGGATATTTTTCATAAATCACACCCAACCATAACTAACACCTTTCAGGCAAGTAAAACTTCACATTGTCTAAATAAATTCATTCAGTTTTATTTGCCATAAACTCTTGAATGATTTTACACAAGGAAAGAACTAAGTTAAACACAGCAGTAAAATAAAAAGACAAAAAATCATCCTCTGTAATTAATAGGGTACGGTAATTACCATATCGTTTGGACTTTAGCTTATAAAGAACTCACAAAATAGCGCTAGGCCTAGGGCCAATAGGCCTATAATGCTTAACAAGGCCTTCATCTTGCAAACAACTATAAAATTGACTAGTCGCTAAAACTAATTTCTCCACTGGCTAGGGATCTTGCGACACTATTGATACGAGTAGGCTACCCTACCAGTAGGTTTCGATACTTTTATTGGGGTAGATTTCCCCATCTGTTGTCAAAAACAACCAAATCAAAATATCCATTGATATATCGATTATTTCATTCAATATATCTAACTAACCAATCGATATATCAAATGAAATAATCAATATATCGAATAATTTTTCTTTAGGTTGTTTTTGACAACAGATACAGAAGTTTACCCTTATTGGTACTGCTGGTATCGTATCATATCGGTATCGGCTATTCCGACATTTACTTGGTATCAATACCAAGAGGCCAGTATCGTATCGTAAGTGTCAGAAGGAAACATCTGAGTCAAATGGCCATGCTTGTGCCTCTGAGCGTTTGTTTTCCAAGGCAACAGTGACCCAAAAAGAAACAGACTTTCGCCCAAATATTTACCCTAATTTTTTTGTCTAGCTTGTCTGATGATACGTGGTTTGAGTAGGTGTAGGTCTAAATGATGCTTCTCTATTCATTCATAGAATTTTACATAAATAATAGGTAATATAAATAATAATAATTATAATAGGCCTAGGCCTAATATTGTACCCTGGTACGGCCTAAACTTGAGTTTTGTTTGGAGCAACTGTGTGGTATCCTCATCAAACCTATCTTGTCGACATGATTGAGCAAATATAAATCAAATTCCTTAGATATTTATTCTTCAAGAAGTTTGGATACCGGTACTTCATATTTGATGTACCGGTATCTTACCACACTCTTTTAAACTTGTTTGAAATGGTCAAAAAGCAACGTCGTGATGGGGGGATGCTTATATCTTTCCACACAAACTTCTCAATGATAAGGTTGATGACAGCGAGCTCTTATCTCGTTTAGCGTTCCTTGTTCGCCGAACTCTTCCAGAGCTGCGCATTGTTCAGTCCGTCCTTCTCATGGACTTGCCTAGGGGCTCAGTCACCTATCAACACAATGATGAGACTATATAATTTAATACGGCTTGGTTTACGCCTCTGCCTTGCAATTTAACAATGTTACAATAGCACATGGCAGTTTACTGCACAGACTGTACTATGAAAATTTTAGTCGTCATATCACACCTGTTGTATATAAGGCTTTGAGGGATGAACTTTCAAAACAACAGTTGTTTGTTAAAAATCCTACAAATGTGACTTTTAACTTTGAGGTTATTGGGCCAAATAAAAATGATAAAATGCAATATGAGATGCAAGAAGCAAGACTTTGCAGCTTGTACACTCATGACAGTTTAATAGAATTGTATGTGAATTATGAAAATATGAATCAAAACGCAAACCAATATATTGAGATATCGTCAGATTTCTTGATATTGATGATTGGACCATCCAAACGAAGGTTTGTTCAAAAATTTTTTACATTGTCGAGACTCATTGAAAAAACGGCTTTCAATACAGGAGTAGAGGTATGCGTAGAATCTACTCCTTTTAACGACTTGTTGTTTCACAACTCTTTGGCCCGAGGAATAGTTAGCAAAACGTATGGAACACATCGAGAACAATTTCTGATGGATGCATCACTGGTTCCTGGTGTTTTTTTCTGTTACAGGTGTACACTAGTTACATTGCTGCCAACACATCACTACAGTCCCTTGCAATTACCTTTCTTGTTGTTGTCAGAAACAGTTTTTCTGTTACAGGTGTACACTAGTTACATTGCTGCCAACACATCACTATATACAGTCCTCTGCAATTACCTTTCTTGTTGTTGTCAGAAACATTTTTTCTGTTACAGGTGTACACTAGTTACATTGCTGCTAACACATCACTATACAGTCCCTTGCAATTACCTTTCTTGTTGTTGTCAGAAACATTTATTCTTTGACAGGTGTACACTAGTTACATCGCTGCTAACACATCACTATACAGTCCCTTGCAATTACCTTTCTTGTTGTTGTCAGAAACATTGTTTCTGTTACAGGTGTACACTAGTTACATTGCTGCTAACACATCACTATACAGTCCCTTGCAATTACCTTTCTTGTTGTTGTCAGAAACATTGTTTCTGTTACAGGTGTACACTAGTTACATTGCTGCCAACACATCACTATACAGTCCCTTGCAATTACCTTTCTTGTTGTTGTCAGAAACATTGTTTCTGTTACAGGTGTACACTAGTTACATCGCTGCTAACACATCACTATACAGTCCCTTGCAATTACCTTTCTTGTTGTTGTCAGAAACATTGTTTCTGTTACAGGTGTACACTAGTTACATCGCTGCTAACACATCACTATACAGTCCCTTGCAATTACCTTTCTTGTTGTTGTCAGAAACATTGTTTCTGTTACAGGTGTACACTAGTTACATTGCTGCCAACACATCACTATACAGTCCCTTGCAATTACCTTTCTTGTTGTTGTCAGAAACATTTTTTCTGTTACAGGTGTACACTAGTTACATTGCTGCCAACACATCACTATATACAGTCCTCTGCAATTACCTTTCTTGTTGTTGTCAGAAACATTTTTTCTGTTACAGGTGTACACTAGTTACATTGCTGCTAACACATCACTATACAGTCCCCTGCAATTACCTTTCTTGTTGTTGTCAGAAACATTTTTTCTGTTACAGGTGTACACTAGTTACATCGCTGCCAACACATCACTATATACAGTCCTCTGCAATTACCTTTCTTGTTGTTGTCAGAAACATTGTTTCTGTTACAGGTGTACACTAGTTACATTGCTGCCAACACATCACTATATACAGTCCCCTGCAATTACCTTTCTTGTTGTTGTCAGAAACATTGTTTCTGTTACAGGTGTACACTAGTTACATCGCTGCCAACACATCACTATATACAGTCCCCTGCAATTACCTTTCTTGTTGTTGTCAGAAACATTGTTTCTGTTACAGGTGTACACTAGTTACATCGCTGCCAACACATCACTATATACAGTCCCCTGCAATTACCTTTCTTGTTGTTGTCAGAAACATTTTTTCTGTTACAGGTGTACACTAGTTACATTGCTGCCAACACATCACTATACAGTCCCCTGCAATTACCTTTCTTGTTGTTGTCAGAAACATTTTTTCTGTTACAGGTGTACACTAGTTACATTGCTGCCAACACATCACTATATACAGTCCTCTGCAATTACCTTTCTTGTTGTTGTCAGAAACATTTTTTCTGTTACAGGTGTACACTAGTTACATTGCTGCCAACACATCACTATATACAGTCCTCTGCAATTACCTTTCTTGTTGTTGTCAGAAACATTTTTTCTGTTACAGGTGTACACTAGTTACATTGCTGCTAACACATCACTATATACAGTCCTCTGCAATTACCTTTCTTGTTGTTGTCAGAAACATTTTTTCTGTTACAGGTGTACACTAGTTACATTGCTGCCAACACATCACTATATACAGTCCCCTGCAATTACCTTTCTTGTTGTTGTCAGAAACATTTTTTCTGTTACAGGTGTACACTAGTTACATTGCTGCTAACACATCACTATACAGTCCCCTGCAATTACCTTTCTTGTTGTTGTCAGAAACATTTATTCTTTGACAGGTGTACACTAGTTACATTGCTGCCAACACATCACTATATACAGTCCTCTGCAATTACCTTTCTTGTTGTTGTCAGAAACATTTATTCTTTGACAGGTGTACACTAGTTACATCGCTGCCAACACATCACTATATACAGTCCTCTGCAATTACCTTTCTTGTTGTTGTCAGAAACATTTTTTCTGTTACAGGTGTACACTAGTTACATTGCTGCCAACACATCACTATATACAGTCCTCTGCAATTACCTTTCTTGTTGTTGTCAGAAACATTTTTTCTGTTACAGGTGTACACTAGTTACATTGCTGCCAACACATCACTATATACAGTCCCCTGCAATTACCTTTCTTGTTGTTGTCAGAAACATTTTTTCTGTTACAGGTGTACACTAGTTACATTGCTGCTAACACATCACTATACAGTCCCCTGCAATTACCTTTCTTGTTGTTGTCAGAAACATTTATTCTTTGACAGGTGTACACTAGTTACATCGCTGCCAACACATCACTATATACAGTCCCCTGCAATTACCTTTCTTGTTGTTGTCAGAAACATTGTTTCTGTTACAGGTGTACACTAGTTACATCGCTGCCAACACATCACTATATACAGTCCCCTGCAATTACCTTTCTTGTTGTTGTCAGAAACATTGTTTCTGTTACAGGTGTACACTAGTTACATTGCTGCCAACACATCACTATATACAGTCCTCTGCAATTACCTTTCTTGTTGTTGTCAGAAACATTTTTTCTGTTACAGGTGTACACTAGTTACATTGCTGCTAACACATCACTATACAGTCCCCTGCAATTACCTTTCTTGTTGTTGTCAGAAACATTTATTCTTTGACAGGTGTACACTAGTTACATCGCTGCTAACACATCACTATACAGTCCCTTGCAATTACCTTTCTTGTTGTTGTCAGAAACATTGTTTCTGTTACAGGTGTACACTAGTTACATCGCTGCCAACACATCACTATATACAGTCCCCTGCAATTACCTTTCTTGTTGTTGTCAGAAACATTGTTTCTGTTACAGGTGTACACTAGTTACATCGCTGCCAACACATCACTATATACAGTCCCCTGCAATTACCTTTCTTGTTGTTGTCAGAAACATTGTTTCTGTTACAGGTGTACACTAGTTACATTGCTGCTAACACATCACTATATACAGTCCCTTGCAATTACCTTTCTTGTTGTTGTCAGAAACATTGTTTCTGTTACAGGTGTACACTAGTTACATCGCTGCCAACACATCACTATATACAGTCCCCTGCAATTACCTTTCTTGTTGTTGTCAGAAACATTGTTTCTGTTACAGGTGTACACTAGTTACATCGCTGCCAACACATCACTATATACAGTCCCCTGCAATTACCTTTCTTGTTGTTGTCAGAAACATTGTTTCTGTTACAGGTGTACACTAGTTACATCGCTGCCAACACATCACTATATACAGTCCCCTGCAATTACCTTTCTTGTTGTTGTCAGAAACATTTTTTCTGTTACAGGTGTACACTAGTTACATTGCTGCCAACACATCACTATATACAGTCCCCTGCAATTACCTTTCTTGTTGTTGTCAGAAACATTTTTTCTGTTACAGGTGTACACTAGTTACATTGCTTCCAACACATCACTATACAGTCCCCTGCAATTACCTTTCTTGTTGTTGTCAGAAACATTTTTTCTGTTACAGGTGTACACTAGTTACATCACTGCTAACACATCACTATACAGTCCCTTGCATAGCTGTTGGAATGTTATGGACCAAGTGAACCAAGTTGAATAACCCAGCATTCATCTAAGGCCTAACAACCACACTAATCAACCGTTGTGGCAGAAGAAGATCTTTATATTCAAACTAAATTTCAACTATTGTTATTCATTAGCATACGTCTTAATTGAGAGTTTGATAACAACAATTTTAAAAGAAAATCAGAACCTAACAAGAACTAAGAGAAAATGAGTGAAACAGTGGAGTCAGTTTTCATAGGAGTTAGTCACACTGAGTACGGCTTGGTTTACGCCTCTGCCTTGCAATTTAACAATGTTATAATAGCACATGGCAGCTTACTGCACAGACTGTACTATGAAAATTTTAGTTGTCATATCACACCTGATGTATATAAGGCTTTGAGGGATGAACTTTCAAAACAACAGTTGTTTGTTGAAAATCCTACAAATGTGACTTTTAACTTTGAGGTTATTGGGCCAAATAAAAATGATGACATGCAATATGAGACGCAAGAAGCAAGACTTTGCAGCTTGTACACTCATGACAGTTTAAAAGAATTTTATGTGAATTATGAAAATATGGACCAAAATGCAAACCAATATATTGAGATATCGTCAGATTTCTTGATATTGATGATTGGACCATCCAAACGAAGGTTTGTTCAAACATTTTTTACATTGTTGAGACTCATTGAAAAAACGGCTTTCAATACAGGATTAGAGGTATGCGTAGAATCTACTCCTTTTAACGACTTGTTGTTTCACAACTCTTTGGCCCGAGGAATAATTAGCAAAACGTATGGAACAGATGGAGAACAATTTCTGATGGATGTATCACTGGTTCCTGGCGTTGAGGGTGCTCCAATCTATGTGTAAGTCTAACTTAGATTCTTAAAGTGTTAGATATGCTGTACAGTAACGTCTAATATAAACACAGCTGATAACTTTATTCAAACAGTCCGGATTAATGGTGCATAGTTGTGAGATGTTCTGGTTTCCAGGTCGTCTTTCAAATAAATTTAACTCTTGTTTCATTTGAATGAATTCATTAATAGTAGTTTATGCAACAATCGTGTAAAGATAGTGTTAACGAAACGTGAAATCCATGGTGATGGTTTTCAAACTGTTTAATGTGTTTCAAAAATGTTTACAGGTATCATAGTTATTATAGTTGCTCGATCTTCAATTTATTTACACAGTTATAAAATCTGCATGAAACTGCGGAGATTATGGAATGGATTTTATATAAAATAATTCTAATCTATATATTAATTTGAAACTGTTTTTCTTTGTCACAGCTATTTTGAGAGAACGGCTGGGCGTAGAAACTCGGTAGGGGTGTCTAAAGAAAGGTCTTGGTCTGTAGATGAGCCATCAAAAGAGAAACATGGTGAATTCCCTTGGGGCTCTGCCCCAGTGGCCTTTGAATTCCCATCCCATGTTATTCTTATGGAGGAAAACGGGGTTTTTGTCACAGCTAATTTGAGAGAACGGCTGGGCGTAGAAACTTGGTAGGGGTCTCTAAAGAAAGGTCTTGGTCTGTAGATGAGCCATCAAAAGAGGAACGAGGTCAATTCCCTTGGGGCTCTGCCCCGGAAGCCTTTAAAGTTGCCTCCAGATTTGTTTACATTACGACCATATGCATAATTCTTATACTTTTTAACGAAACAGCTGTTAATATTCAAATTGTAATTTATTGAATTTTTCAAAATGAAGTAACTCTTTTCTTTTGGAGTTAACTTATATCTATTGTATGGGTTGGTTTCTGCCTTTTTTTACCACTTCTTGGAGATTGTACGTAGGTGATATTCGTTGGCATATTGCATCTGTGGAGGAAACTTGGGTTGGTGTATAGAATGGAAAAGAGTGAGAAATCCTGGACAGTTTGATATAGGCTAAAAATAAAACTGAATTAACACTGTTCTACATTTTTTGAGCAATCATTGAAATAACCGATTTGTAAACAATGGAAACATAGAAGAGTCATAGAACACAACCAAGTAGAAGAAATAGAAATAATGTTTTTTTTTCATTTATAATCGTTATCATAGACAACCTAATGTGACTATGAGAGGGAAAAATTTGTAGAAAACACTAAAAAAAACAAGATCAGCTTTTTGAAAAGAGATAAGATATTCACAAACGATTTTGATTATATCTAACTGTTGTGTAGATTGTGAGTATTTCCATACTCTTTGAGTCGCCTGTAATGCAATTGCTCGAATTCGAGCAACAGGTGCACTAGTATTTTATTATTTGAACTGGTTCCTCTCGTAGTAGCCAGTCAGTGTCTATGGCTTGTGGTATATGTGTCCATGAACTCAAGTAATTTTGATCAAATTGGCTTGAAGGTGTAGGACAGGGTAACCTTGAATGAGTTGGCGAACCAACAAGATCGGGTCATGAGAATGGGGTATTAGGCCTATAAAGTTTTGAAATAAAAAAAAAAATTATTGTTACCATTAAAACATGGAAATGCTGGATTCTCATAGCAAACATCGTGTTGTACATCTTTAAAAAATAATAATATTGTATATTGATGCATTGTTGAACAACACTCCAGAGTGTCAGAAAACATGAATTGGCGAGTCTAAAGTTAAGTTGTTAGAGTGGGAGGCCTACATTTGTCTTGATTGCATAAATTCAAAATTTCATTAACACTAATTACTTTTTGTGATTTTTTGTTCTTTAAGTTCTCAGTGTTAAAACTGCTCAGGTCAATGGGACACTTAGAAATATCATAAAACTATCATGTTCAACTTTTTCCATGAAATTAGGGGTTCCCATGCTAAAAAATTAACATTTAATTGAAGTATTAAAAATAAGTGTTTTTTTGCATGTCTGTATGTAAGTGTGAAAGGGTTAAACCTGTCTACTTAGTATTTTTTTTTTTTTTTTTTTATCACTACTCTTGACTGTTTATATTAAGTTATCTTAAATTTTACAGCTTCAAGAGCGGGAAGAAAGATTCTATAATTGGTATTGTTGTATGCGTCTTGACCAACCAGGAACCAGGGTTTTCTCTTTGCCTGAATTTAAAAGCTCTTCTCCATGGTTACATAAATTCTCATTCTCAAAGCTTCGTCCCGATGTTGGTTTATTCAGCAGTACGTCAGAATCAGAAATCTTCATCTCCCTTGAACATGGGTATGTAAAACATGCTTTGATTATTTAATGTTTAGTTTATACTTTTCTTGAGGCTGCCAAAATGAACATCAGGGTTTCAGGAGCTGGAGTGTGAAGTTAAATTATTGAGTTAGACACTTGACAGTTGCCAACCTGATGGGGAAAATAAATAAAACAGTGTAGAGCAAAGACTACTAAAATGCCGCTTTGGCTGTTGCCACTTAGCCTATTTTATCTTATCAAGGCCTTGTTTTAGAGGATGCTATGGTTATCAATATTTAAAGGTGTAACCACTACTACACGTCTTAAGTATGTTTATTGGTTTGCAGAGCTATTGTCGTCTGCAGTATTGTTCGTCCGCAGTGGCCACAGCTGGGGCTCGGGCGTTGTGGTGAATGCTGAACACGGCATTGTACTATCCTGCGCTCATGTCGTGAATAACGTGAGTAACCTAGTTGAGCTTACATCAAATACTATATCTGACCTAACCCGACTGTGGAAATGTCGAATGACACAGAATGTGGCCTAAATTTGCCTTAAAATAAAAAAAGTGTGAAATTTAATGTTTGCTATGTCTATTGTCTACATTGAAGACGGGGATTTTCAATTTTTTTTTTTCATTTTGAGACAATTTTTGCTACCTTAATTGAGCATTTTCAAGAAATGCTTAATAGTAGATTGTAGGAAATTTTATTCTCTTTCGGAATATTACCTTCCACTTTCGTCGATTTCCTCACCATTAAAAGTAATTTGCAAAAACGTCAAGCAACCTCCAAATTTTTAGTGGTGAAAAAAGTTGGAGATTACTTTTTAACTTTGTGCAATTAAATCTACAGTTCTGCTAGATCAATTTTGTTAAATAATGTGTCTTTGGAAGGCATAAACTCTTTGAGTTGCTTTTTCGTTGATTGTGTATTTTATAGCGGTAAGTTTAATAGTATAAAAGTTATAAAGCGTTAAAACCAGGTCATTCATTTTGAAACACCCGGTATTATACAGTCTTATTGTACCATATTACAGGATTTATAACCAAAAAGTAATGCACAAATCACTAAACCAACCCTAAAAAAAGATCAAAAATTTCACGGACACCAACCAGCGCCTAACATTACTAAACAAAACGAAAAACACATAAAAAAAGCTAGATTTTACAATAGGATGATAATTCTACTTGTTTTAGTCTACGCTTATGAGTTAGTTTAGGTTTTCTATTGAAAATATTAATCGAATAAGCTAATTTTTCGCAAAGTATTAATAGTGATAACTCATAATATACTAAATAGGCCCTTATAGTAAGAAAAATAGAACTAATCTTTCCAACCAGTTTTACAGTGTACTTTAATAGACGATTCTGTTTCAGGACGTGAACAATGTTTATGTGGTATTTAACGGAGAGAGGTACCCTGCCAAGGTTCTGTTCACTAACCTGACTGATCTGCCTTTCGACATAGCTGTATTGTGTGTCGGAAACATTCCTGGCTTGGGGTCTCTCATAATGGCGACGGAGTCACCCGTAGTTGGTAGTTATCTAATCAGAAATATGATAAAATATTTACAAGATAAGATATAAATTGATATAAATAAATGTGTGTTTTAACTATTAATGTGGATAGGTGCCAAAATAGAGTTAAATTCATTTTCATTGGCCACCAGAGCTGCTAAATATAATTTACATGCCAGAATTTCTGCCACAGCTCTGACTCGTCCTTTGACCTTTATAAGAATAAGAATAAGAATAAGAATCTTTATTACCCTTTAAACATTTTACATTGCAATAGGGTTCGTCATTTGCTACATAATATATATATATATATATTTCACATGAAATAGTAACAAAGATAGTTTTATCAAATAAGTTAAGACAAGCTGGCCTGATTCTAATCTAAAATCTAGTCTACTAATGGCATGGTGAAACACAACAACATGCAATATGCAAAAAATATGAGCAAAATACAAGTCAAAATAGAACGAGTACATAGAAACAATACTAACATGGCAAGATGATAAAAATTGATTTTGAACAAATTGTCAAAGGTAAATAAAAATATGACTATATCAAAATGGTTAACATCAGAAACAAGTTACTTAAATAATATGACTAGAATGGCACAAAGAATTAAACAAGTTGGGGACATTGCGGTTGCTTTTCAAATATCAATTTTGAAATATCGCTTTTAAAAAACTCATCTAGTTTGTAGAAAGGGTGGCTAGTTAACCATCTGTACAAAGTAGTCTTAAACACATTATAACTAACATGGTGAGAGGTGTAATTTAGTTTGTTGAAAAGTGTTATACCTATGACTTCAAAAGAATTTTTTACCTTACTTAGTCTAGCAAAAGGAATATGAATCAAGTGAGAGCCTCTAGTGTTGTATGAGTGAACATTTTCATTTAAAACTAAACTACTAAATTTCCTTTTAACATGCAACAAACATAGTAAGATGTACATATTTAAAACAGTCATTATTTTACTATCAACAAAAAGAGGCCTACAGTGAGCTAGATAGGGTGCATTATTGACAATTCTAACAGCTCTCTTTTGCAAAATCAAAACATCATAGATATTACTGCCATTACCCCAGATAAGAAGGCCATAGGTCATGACACTCTGGAATAGAGCAAAGTATACCATTTTAAGGTAACTAATTTCAACAGAATATTTTAATTTACTCAAGAGGCAGATGACCCTACTGAGTTTTTTGCAGACATTATTGATTTGGTGGTTCCAAGACAGTCTAGAATCAAGAGTGATACCTAGAAGGTTAACAACCTTATCCTTATTGTTCTCAGAGCTCTTTAAAGAAAATACAATTTTTTGTGTTTTATCTAAATTTAGTAACAATATATTTGATTTGTACCATTCATTAGCTTCATCAACCATGTGACTTAATTTAAAATCAGATTCATTAGCATTTGAACTTGGACAAAAAAAAGTTACATCGTCTGCAAACATTACAGAACTACAGCTAACATTGTATTCCAGATCATTGATCATAATTAAAAACAAGAGAGGCCCAAGCACCGACCCCTGTGGTACACCGAAGTTAACCTCAGATAGTTGGGAAAATTTACCATTTGCAAAAACTTTTTGTTGCCGATTGCTGAGGTACGATTTAAAAAGAGAATTTTGAACACCAATTATGCCATAAAATTCAAGTTTTTTCAAGAGGATGCCACGATCGACACAGTCGAAGGCCTTGGACAGATCACACAGAACTGCGCAAGTGTCTGTGCCAGAATCAAAACCAGCTAGGACACCTGAAACCAAGCCCCCGACCGCATCAGCCGTAGACATCCCCTTTCTAAAACCAAACTGACTACTAGAAAATAACTTGTTTATTTCAAAGTAAGAATTTACCTGATCTTTAATAGCGGCTTCAAAGACTTTAGAAAAAACAGGTACCAGAGAGATTGGTCTGAATGATTTAACATCACCTTGATCCCCTTTCTTAAATATTGGCACAACCTTGGACATTTTTAATTTACTTGGAAAAAGGCCTTCTCTGAGCAAGGCATTTAAACACAAGGTGAGAGGCACTTTCACTTCTTCAACCACCAGTTTCACTAAAAAATTTGACACATTATAAATATCACAACTTGTGGTATTTTTCAACTTTGAAATGATTTTAACAACTTCACTACACTCGACAGGCTGCCAGGACAGAGGATGATGTGGTGTCAAGCGATGGCCCTCCAGGAGTTCATCAGGCGTGGAGTCAGCGACAGGGATGTTCTCTCTGATATCAGCAACCATGGAAGAGAAGAAATCGTTAAAGGTGTCGGCATCCGGGGTAGCAGGTTGTTGAGATTTAGGTTGAGTCTCATTCTTGATAACTGTCCAGGCGGCTTTACATGTATTACTGGAAGAATCTATGAATGTCTGGTTGGCTTGCTTTTTACCTTGTAGTAAAGCCATTTTGTAGATCTTCTTTGCTCGCTTATACCTTTCTACATCCAATGCATTTCCAGTGTGTTTGGATAAACTAAACATTGCCATTACAGTATCCTTCATTTTCCTTAGCTGTGGTGTGTACCAATTTTTTCGACCTCTAGGTTTATTCTTGACATTTTTCTTCACTTTAGTTGGAAAGTAAATATCCATCCATCCAATAAATGTGTTATGGAATTTATTGTACATTTCATCAGAATTAAGTCCTTCCAGCAATTGAGGCCAGTCAATGTTTTGTAGCCTTAGTTTAAAATCCATAATAGCACTCGTTGGTAAGGGCCGGATGATTTTACGGTTGAGCCTATTTTGATCATTAATCTTACGTCCTTTTGTCAGACGGTTAAAAATCCTAAATGATAAAAAACTATGGTCAGATATTAAATTATCAAGCACATTTACTTTAAATTCAGTAGGTACTAAGTTTGTAACCATATAGTCAATACATGCTAAACCTCTTGTTGGTTTAAAGTTTGAACAATAAAGGTCTGCTGTTCTTAAAAGGTTGTGAAGCCTAACAGTTGAAGTATTCAAGCCGTTAGCTTAGTCATATTGAGGTCGCCGCAAAAAACAATGTCCATCTTGAATTTCAGCAAACATTCAAGAAGCAAGTCTAGTTTCTCGAAAAATATGTTTTCATCCCCACCACTAGGCCTGTAGAGGCACACAATTATCAATTTAACATCACATATCGTAACTGCAGTTGCTTCAAAATGTCTTTCAACATTAATATATTCCAGATCAATGGGTTTTACATTAAGGCCTAAGTTACTTTTAATGTAGATAGCAGATCCTCCGTGAATGCCAGATGTCCGATAAAAGATAGATTCAAGTTTGTAGCCTACAAAATTGTAAAGATCAAAATTTTGATCGTTAAGCCAGTGCTCAACAACACAAAAGATTGCATAGTCTTCCTCTTGCAGACATATTTCAATTTCTTGAGTTTTATTAGTAATACTTTGTACGTTACCAAATAAAATATTTAATTCATTATTTGTTGATACTAAAGGCGTGTCTAGTTGTGTCGTAGCAGCTTGTGTTATGGAGGCGTGGCAGCGGGGCTGAGATGGTAGTTTCCCAAAGATTTCTCCACAGGAACTGCATTTAGCGCTGGTACTAGAGTAGGGTCGGGGCTACAGGTATCTGCGATGGAGTCGGCAGCTTCGCATAGAGACTGTTTTTCGGATTCTCCCAGATCTTCTCGTTCTCTGAAGGAGGTTTGCGACTCTGACTTCTGGTTGGTGTCAGAGATAAGGAAAGACTGTGGTGTTTGCTCATTTGATCCAGCCAGTTTCTCACAGATTCTGTTCACAAGCCATTTCTTCCCTGCTTCATTCAGATGCATGCCATGCCTTGTGTGCAAGGCTCTATCTGCACTGCTTGACTTGACAAGGCATACATTTGTAAAACGATGACTTAAGGCTTCTAAAGATGTGTTTGTCTTTTTTATTTCTTGATTCACACAAGACCAACTAGGCAAATCATGTCTCGTAGGCAAGTCAACCAAAATTATTTTAAATCCATTGTATTTATGCAAAATACTTTCAATTGAGTTGATTGCTTCTTTTGCTTCATTCTGTGCTACGTCATTCGAACCACAAGCAATTATGAGGACATCTTCAGCTTGTAGTTTTTCTCCATCAATATTTTCCACATTTAATATTTGTTTTGCCAAACCTCCTGGTCTCACAAAACCAACTGCATCAACAGATCTAGAGGACTTATTTAAGTGAAAAGCTAAGTTACGGCCATGACTATCTGCACACAGAAGAATTTTCTTTTGCAATGACTTTTTATTATTATTGTTTTTTTTCTTAGCAGGAGCGTGCCTTTTATTTATAGCTTTGTCCTGTTGCCTTCTTGGGTTATTTACACAAGTTTGTTTGTCTGTTAGTGGTCCAGCAGAATCTTTATCTTGATTTTCTGCTTCTGAGAGTGATTGTAAGGGAGAAAAACGATTCTTGGAGGTAAAAACCGCTTCAGCTGTTCCCACAATTTCTCTGTTTGGGCTGCAAGTATTTTGATGACTTCGTTGAGGGTTACTGAATACCTCTTTCCACTTGTTCGCCACATGCACATCAGCTGATGATGATGTGTGTTTGGTTGTAATAGGGGGGAAACAGTTCAAGCAAGTCACACTGTCTGTTTTTATTATTTTTGAGCTATCTATTAAAGCTTTATTTTCTTTTTCTAAAATCCGTATTATAGATTCTAATGACCTCATTGACTCAAACATTTTTTTAATCTCATCTTCATATATCATACATTTTTTGCAGGGTTTGGGTAGCATGACATCTGGGTTAGTTTTTAGTTTACTTTCTTCCTCTAACTGAGACATAAGATTCGCAGAGATTTTTTTTTTGTTTTCTATTTTCTTTTGCAAAAAGTTAATATTTTTTATGAAGTCATCTTCCTTTTTAATAAATAGTTGTTTTTCTAGCTCTAGATTCTCTTCCATCTCCTTTATTTTATCTTCTAACTCTAAAGCGTAAAGGGAGTTTTGGTTCTTGGACTTGAAGAGCTCTTCTCGCAATTCTTCATTTTCTGTTATAATGGATTTATTTATTTCATCAGCAAGAGAGGAGCAGTTAAGTTGGTCATCGACCTTATCTATAACAGTAGAACTAAGACTTAAATCTTCAAATTCCACGGTGTTTGTAGTTTCTGAGCAATTTGGACAATGCCATAATTTTTGTTCTGCTGATGACATATTTTTTACTTTACTGTACAGCAAGTTTACACACTTTAAATGGTACCATTTTTCACAATTTCCATGACACAAGATGGCTCCCGAGTTTGCACTCTTACCACATTTTCCACATGGATATTTAGCTGTCTTTAAAGTATTTGAACTCATTTTAAAAATTCCAACAATGATTTCAGAGAAAGCATAAAATAATATTTTTTTATTTATGTCACAAGTCTTCTTCCCCAAGAGTATAATAACTTTGTCAATGCAGCGGCTCTATCAAGTCCAATGGATAAGTCAATTATTATTTAAAATTAGGTAGTGGTCAGTAAAGTTGATATCCTGTATGTAAACAAACCATTGTTGTGGTGTAAGGCTGGACAGAGAGAGATAGTCGACAGGTCACTGATAAGAAGCTCAGGGTCCAAGTTGGCTAGCAACAGGTGGAGAGGTAGCCTGATTCCTGTTTCCAAACAGGAAATGGTCCTGTTCAGATCAAGTGTACAACCTTTCTTCCTGTTTTAATTATTTATCTATGTTTGAATTAAATTGTCAGAATAGTGAAATCATATTCTGTGGTGTTCAATTTGAAATATGCAACCAGAGAAGAATGATATTAGTGAGTAATGATTTACTGGAAAGGTTATTTTGAAAGCTTGAGAAACATGTGACTTTTGGCAGGAAAATTGTAAGTTATTTATATTTCTAATTACAAGTGAACTAGTCGAGATATTTTAAAGTCTATTAATTATTAATATTTACTCATGTTTCCAGTTGTGTTTGACGTGCAACTTTCATTTTAAAAACTTGAAAAAACCACTTAAATTACAAACTTAAAACTGTGCAATTTGGCATTGATCTAGCATTGATTTAGCATATACCATAATGATATATAGTGGACCATATAGTACCATATAGTGGATGACCCCAAATTTTGGCTCTTGTTAAGCAATATCCATCAGGGCTTAACATTTATTCATCTCTTCATGTCGTCAAACAATGCACACAGAACACGAACACACACATTGTGAACACTTAAAAAAAGTCCTCTATCAAATGAATGAAGCTTGCAATGAACTGTGGTAAAGACCTAACAAATGCTGGGCGAGTGGTCTGTCGCATAACCGTTTTAACAGGGTACCTCACAATGTCATGAATGAGGCCTATTGTTGAACCGGCTTGTTGAAATATTCTATTTGTGACTCAAGCAGATATCTTTATAATTTTTAATAATTGACAGAAAACCTATACAAAATCAATCCTCCAATCTGGCTCTAAAAAATCTAGCATTGGTGTAAGGGGTTTTTATAACACTGAATAAGCGTTTTGGTTGCATTCAGCAGAGTTCACAGACAGTCCCCACAGGTTGAATTTACTCGGAAGTGATCACATGACAGTGAAAATTTGTTTTATACCTATTATTAGCTCTCTTCATCCTCTATTTTTACAATACACCTGCAATCCTCCTAACAGGGGTTTTTAACAGTGCTCAATCCATTTTCTGTGATCCAGTTAGTACTTCTAAAATTCTAGACGTGAGCGCAATACCGTTTATACTGTATTACTTTTGTGTCTGAGATACAAGAATTTAAAATATACAAATGTTTGTCCAAATTTGGCTATCTTAAGCATTTTAGTAGTATTACATTTTATTATTTTTTGTTCTATAAGGTGAAGCAGTATTTGCTGTAGGCTTTCCTCTTTCCACTGAATCAGCCATTATTGAAAATGGAACCCCTACAGTCACGGGAGGTTGTATTTCAAAGGTAAGTGTTCTACATCTCGACAGCTTCTTGTCACACAATTTGTTAGTTGCACAATGTAAAAAATGTATTACAAGTTCCATAATATGAGGCTCCCATAAGTTATATGACTCATAAAAAAATGTATAGTATGAAATTTTTTGGTACAACAGGTAAACACATATTTTATTTGATCATGGCTTTTGTCTTCTTTAATGTTTTGTATTACTGTATTTTTGGGGTTTTAATTCTTTCCATATGCAATTTCGATAGTTAAGAGTTCTACTGTAGGCTACATTATTGTTCAGTTGTGTGATACAATGTTTTCTGATTAGATCAGTCCAGACGGGGGCCCCGTCCACGTCAGCTGTTGTATCCACGCAGGTTTGAGTGGTGGGGCATTGTTGCGACCACCAAATCAGCTGTTAGGGCTGATCACCAGCAACCTCAGCACAGATTGTATGATATACTATCACTATGGAATGATCTTGTCCGTGGATGATTTTCGAAATATCATAGTAAACTATATCCAGACAAGAGGTAAGTAGGAGTATTGATGCTGTGTAATTGCAATACACATTCACTTCTCTGAAGCAACCGGTAAACAATATCCAAAAACCAATTTTTTATATTTTTCTCTACCTAATGCCAATACATACTGTTCTTGTTCTAAATATTTATTCAGTTGCCATTTTAAAATTCTTCATTTCATTACAAACAATTCAAAGTGAAGATAAAAGATCTGATTACAGGTCAAAAGGTATTGGTTGTGTATTAACAGGCCATATAAAACACATTTTAAAACGCACTAGAAAGTAGAAAATAATTTATAAATATGTTGAGAGAATATAGTGTAAGATTTAAAATGAAAAACGTGGGGCGCATGAAATAGCTAATTTACTCATACCGGCTCTTTGTTATTATCAATTGCATGCGCCCCACGGTTTTTGGTTTAAATCTTACAAGTATTTGTTCTCTCCACATATTTATAAATTATTTTCCACCTTTTAGTGCATTTAAAAACGTGGTATTTAGAGAAAGTTGTTTGTATATAAATTATTTTGTTTCAGAAGGTCAGCAAATTGATTAATTAAAACAATAATTTGAACTATTGTTTATTTAATTATCTCTTCAGTATTTTAATTTTATTTGTTTCAGATCCCACCTGTCTGAAGTTATTAACTGTGAGGAGAGAAGACTTAAGAATCAAATGGTTGAAACTGGAGGGCAAACTGTAAAATTCAGTTTGCTGTTTAGTAAAGTGCAAAACATTTTAGCTTTGTTATCAAGGTAATTGTTTTTAGAATATACACTGTTTCACCAGAAGTTGAATTTTATGGAGATAAGAGATTATTATTGTGATTATGTATCAACTACTTGTAAAACCATACAATAGTAAGGTGGTTGAAATGAAAGTCAATTGTACTCGAGATTTACCCTAGCCGATTAGCTATTTTCTATGATAGCTTTTTTATATTTTCATTTTGGTTTTTAGTCTATGTTTTGTTTTAATGCATTTAGTTTATTTATTAAATAGCCAATATATTATTATTGCCATATTCCTACTTGTGGAATTTTACAGGAATTTGTAATTTTTATCTTGAATAGTTGATCAGATATTAGTATAGCATCACCATCATATTTATCCGATTCTTTAAATATTATATATTAGTAAGATATTGTCAGTAGTACCATTGACTATATAGGTAGTACCTAATATAGTATGTTTGAGTGTTTTATTTTGTTTGTTATATAATCACTAAAACATTGGCCTACAAAACATTGTAACCAAGGGCTATTATGTGATAAATTCTCATTTATGTGGTTTCTATTATGATGCAATAATTAGTCAAACAGCAGTTTAGCCTCAACAACCAAAGTGAAAGATTACTTTTGGCTCACAACTGTTCAGTAGTATAGTACTGTTATAGTTAGTTTTCATAGCAATGTGATAAATTATATTTAAACTTGTTAAATATTTTTGAAAATTGCCATTTTTATCTCGGTAATTGTTCCAATTATTAAGTAAGATTGTTAAAAGGATATTTCATTAGATACTTACCATGGATAATTTTTTGTAAATAACATATTTTGCGCTAAATCTCATAGTGTTTAACATATTTCATAAAAAGCTCTTTACCTGATGCTCAAAATGGTGTAACTTCTAACTGAACATATGTGGACTGTACTGAACAATTTGGAGTCAAAATAGAGCTTTTACTTAGGAAGTTGAGGTTTGGTTCTAATTGCACTGTGCAATTAGTTTGTGTTAACAACTGAAACAAGACTTAAACAGTATAAACAAACATATATGATAAAATCAATATTTAAAAAAATTGTACTCCAACATTTGTTAGTAGTGAATTTCATATGAATTAGTGATTGTTAACTCGACTAAATAGCCAAACCATTTACTTACTTGTTATACAATTGAATAGTCAAGGCTGCTATAAAGTAGCCTTGTTCAATAGTGCTAGAAGGAGCAATGTGTGGAATATGAGTGTTGTATATTTTATTATGCTTTAATGTCAGAAAATGTTACTATGTTACTATACACATGTTCTGTGCATTTTATGAGTCTAGACATTTATTGTATGTTATTCCTTGATGTTTTTGTAGGTTTGTAGTCTATTTACAACAAAGGGGGGTTAAAAAATTAAATATATGAATTGCAAGGTTATAAAAATGAATATTTTGCTATTAAAACACTGTGTTACAACATTAGAATCCAAAATATGACAATATTGTAGGTTTATCTAGTCGTTCTAGGAATGAGTGGTTGTTATCTAGAGCATGGACTACTTAACTGTACATTACTCATTCATGTACAAACTGTAAGAATATGAAAGTGTTTTCTTTGAGTAAAGACAGTGCCTTAGGAAAATATTGTGTGCAATTTTAAATCTAAAACAACTTAGTTTTTATGTAATGTTCTAGTTGAAATTGTGGCTTAATATCTTATTGTATTGTACGAGTAGTTCAAAATACATTTTAAGAAACATTAACATTGTTTGTTAGTTAAAAGTAAATATTATGTTACTTGGTCATAGCAAAACACAATCTTTTAGAGAATTTAATTCTTAAATATACCAATGAAATGTGTGTGGCGTGTGACAGTAATTTTATATAGTATATTCTAGTTTCAACATTATCATTCCAGTTACATATACTTCTTATGTATTTTATATTTTTATATACTGAACTAAATACATTTTGATTTAATATTGTGCATTTTTAGTTTCAAGTCCTCTTCTTTGCCATAAATGCAGTGTCTAATGTTTGGTACTGGCTTAGTATTTTTCTTATGAATTTACTTAAGAGGCTTCTACTTTTGGACGGAAACGACAAAATTGTTATTAACGATTTAACTCTGATGAGGGCACAGTGCCAGAAAGTAGCGGACAGTTTTTAATGTAACCATAAAGGTAAAAAGTCACAACTTTATTTATAATCACAAGTTATTAATTTAACTTTTATTGTATTGGCAAGTTTTTAATTAAAAATTTAAAGAAAGTATTTTAATGATTCTAATGAATATAGTCAGTCTACGGGTTTTCTGTGGCAAGATATTTTTAAGCTCTGTTCTTCATTTACTTGGTAGTACAGTATTTCAAATAACATCTGAGCTTTTGTTATCTGTAGCAGGCCTGTACAGAAAGCACATGGCATGACTCACCCTTCACCCAGACACCTAGTCAGCGGAATTTGTCTGATGTTATCTTCACCTTGTCTACACTGGAATTTTTATAAGTTAGTCACGGACAAATACAGAGATTGTGTTTTTTTTAAATACTGATAGTATTAATTAATATTGCTTATAGTACCACGATGATGAATTGACCAATATTGTCATTGCTGTAAAAAAATAATCTTTAAAAGCTTTGTCACTATCTTTTGGTACCTATCTTTTGAGACTGAATAATATTTCCTAGATGGCAGTATCATTGGAAAACAACTGTATTTTACACAACACCATTGCTCACTGTATAAGTTATTCTGTCATTTAATTATTAATTCTCAACTCTGACTCTGTAATATACAGCTTTAACCTCTTTGAATGAATACCAGAGAATATATGCTGGGGCTAAATATTTTCAAAAGTTTTTTGATGCTGACTTAAAATATTTCCTAAAATAAACTTAATGGCTTATGATGAAATATGTTCTCCTTAGAAAACTCAGTATCTCACTCTTTATTTAGAGTTTTCTAAAAGAAAATAAACGGTATCAGCATTCTGACACATTTCTCCCATAAGCTTGTCAACAACCTTTAACATAGGTAAGCGGTGAGAGTAAATATGATATTTTATAGTAAAAAATCACAAGAGTTTCGTAATTTTTACAGAAATGGGCAGAATGTAAAGGACTACAACTTACTACCTTTTAATCAAAATTGTTCAAGCCATTTTTGAGAAAATCCTATTTTTCCGTTGTTTGTTGTTATATGGGTTTTTATGGGAAAATCTACATTAAAAATCAAAATTTTGAAAAAAATGGAAAAACACCTGGATATACCATCCGGATTAGAACCTACACACCAAATTTCATCGAAATGGGACCACATTCAGTCAGTGTACACACACCAGACATCACTTTGGAAACCAAGTATTTGGGTAAAGGCGGACCCAAAACGGATATATCCACTCAAACTCAAAAATTTTGACGAAGATAATACTTTCTCCATATACTATGGTATATTATTATTATTTATTGAGCGGAGCGAGCGAAGCTCTTATACGTCGACTTTTATGCATTTCGTAATACGCAAACTCCTCCTAGACGGCTGAATCAATCGTTTTGAAATTTTGCATAGTGATAAAGACCATATCGGTGAGTGCCAACATCTATATGGCGTTAAAAAAGTCTCTCAGGAATCAACTCACTGGGTCTCAAAGTTTCAGTGTAATCCTTATGGAAGCAGTATTTGACAAATAAACAAAAACAAAGACATATGATCAGCTGTTGACTTTTGAATGCAGTAGATAAGGGAATAGCGGATAGCATTATTCCACAGACATTAGAACAGAAACGGTATGAATCATAAATATAATCAAATGACGACACTAGCTTGAGGTCCGTGACGTAGGAAGAGGTTAAGGAAGTAGTAAAGGTGAGCAGTCTGGAGTGTGGAAACTGTTTATGACGATTAGATTAAGGTATCTGCAATCCTAAAATGCTATTGGAAGGAAAGGAAACAGGTCCGCGACGTAGGAAGTGGTGAAGGAAGTAGTAAAGGCGAGCTGTTCGGGGTGTGGGATCTGTTTATGACCATTAGATTAAGATATTTGCAACCCTATGATGCTATGGGAAGGGAGGAAACAGGTCTGTGACGTAGGAAGTGGTGATAAAAGTAGTAAAGGCAAGCAGTCTGGACTGTGGACACTGTTTATGACGATTAGAGTAAGGTTTTTTGCAATCCTAAAATGCTTTGGAAGGGAGGAAAACAGGTCCGCGACGTAGGAAGTGGTGAAGGAAGTAGTCAAGGCGAGCTGTTCGGAGTGTGGGATCTGTTTATGACCAATAGATTAAGGTATTTGCAATCCAATAATGCCAAGGGACGGGAGGGAAACAGGTCCGAGACGTAGGAAGTGGTGAAGGAAGTAGGAAATGCGAGCAGTCCGGAGTGTGGGAACTGTTCATGATGATTCGATTAAGGGATCTGCAATCCTTATATGCTATGGGAAGGGAGGAAAACAGGTCCGAGACGTAAGGAGTGGTGAAGGAAGTAGTGAAGGCGAGCAGTCCGCAGTGTGGGAAATGTCTATGACGATTAGATTAAGGTATCTGCAATCCTCAAATGCTATGGGAATGGAGGAAAACAGGTTCGAGTCGTAGCAAGTGGTGAATTAAGTAGTCAAGGCGAGCTGTCCGGAGTGTGGGAACTGTTTATGATGATTAGATTAAGATATTTGCAAGCCTATGATGCTATGGAAGAGAGGGAAACAGGTCCGTGACGTAGGAAGAAGTGGTGATGAAAGCAGTACAGGCAAGCAGTATGGACTGTGGAATCTGTTTATGACGATTAGAGTAAGGTATCTGCAATCCTAAAATGCTTTGGAAGGCAGGAAAACAGGTCCGCGACGTAGGAAGTGGTGAAGGAAGTAGTCAAGGCGAGCTGTTCGGTGTGTGGAAACTGTTTAGGACGATTAGATTAAGGTATCTGCAATCCTAAAATACTATTGGACGGAAAGGAAACAGGTCCGTGACGTAGGAAGTGGTGATTGAAGTAGTAAAGGCAAGCAGTACGGGCTGTGGAAACTGTTTATGACGATTAGATTAGGTATCTGCAATCCTAAAATCCTATAGGAAGGGAGGAAACCAGGTCCGCGATGTAGGAAGTGGTAAACTAAATAGTCAAGGCAAGCAGTCCGGAGTGTAGGAACTGTTTACGACGAATAGATTAAGGTATCTGCAAAACTAAAATGCTATGGAAAGGGAGGTAAACAGGCCCATGGCGTAGAAAGTGGTGAAGGAAGTAGTAAAGGCGAGTTGTTCGGAGTGTGGGATCTGTTTATGACCAAAAGATTAAGGTATTTGCAATCCAATAATGCCAAGCGAAGGGAGGGAAACAGGTCCGCGACGTAGGAAGAGGTGAAGGAAGTAGTAAGGTGAGCAGTGTGGAGTATGGGAACTGGAAACCGTTTGTAGCATTTATCTGCAATGCTGAAATACTATTAGAAGGGATGGAAGCATGCCCACGACATAGGAAATGGTGAAAGAAGTAATTAATGCTAGCAGTGTGGATTGTGGGTAATGGTGGCAATTAGATTAACGTATCTAAAATACTAAATTGTTATGGAAAGTTATAAATACAGGTCCACGACGTAGGAAGTGGCTTAGGAAGTAGTAAAGTATAAGCATAGTGTGAGAACCGTCTGTGGCAGTTAAATTAATGTATATTCAATCCTAAAATGCTTTGAGAAGGAAAGGAAACGTCGTGGGGCCTCGGCGTAGGAAGTGGTGAAGTAAGTAGTAAAGGCTGGCAGTGCAGAGTGGGGGAACCGTTTGGGCAGTTAGATAAATGTATCTGTAATACTTAAATGCTATTAGAAGGGAAGGAAACAGGTCTATGACGTAGGAAATGGTGGAGGAAGTAGTAAGGCTAGCAGTGCAGAAAGTGGGAACTGTCTTTGGCAATTGTATCTGCAATTCTAAAGTGCTATGGGAAGAGAGGGAAATAGGTCCACCGACGTAGGCGGTGGTGAAGGAAGTAGTAAAGGTGAGCAATGTTGAGTGTGGGAATGGAGGAATGTATCTGCAATGCTAAAATGCTACGGGAAGAGACTGTAGACTGTAATTTAAAATGATTACGAAGCACGAATCTATACATGTTTTCGATACATGCAATCGTTTACAATCAAAATTTACAACTGAGTTGACAACAGCTGATTTTTACTCGACAGAGGCTAAAAACGATTTTTACTCCCTAAAGAGTAAAAATGCTACTTACACCCGCAACGCTTGCATTAAAAGCGGATGTTTTTACTGCAGTATGACAAAAACAATATAATAATGTTGATAACCTTGATGACTCCGCTCAATTTTGTGGATGCCTCTGCGAACGCTACCTAGTTATTATTTCTTTGTCATGAGAGCGGAAGCCCCCTGACTACGTACCCGGTACCTATCGTGAGACATACCCGGGCCCCATGATGTAGGCCGAAGCTTACGCATCAACCTTTAGCACATCATGGGCGGATGACTTAAGGTCATCAGGCTCGCCGGCTGCCGAAGCAGACCCTTCGGAAAGAGGGTTGCCCCTCAATCCTAACCAGGGATTCCGGCTGCTTGTTTAAGCGTCACTCCACCTGGGTTCCACCAGGTACAAGCCCTAGAGGACCATAATGGAGCGCCCCGACGCATTTATTGCAAGCAACACTCGGGACCTATCTAATCCCTGACAGGCAGAACCCGCCATCATAGCCAGAAGGAAGGGGACCGTCAGCGAACCTCCCATTTACACCACTACCCGATCGAGGCCTTACCCAGTTGCTGGGAAACCAGAGATAACCAGAGCGATAGATCCCCAGATACCCCTGGCGGGCTCGGACCCAGCACCCGATCTACTTCGTTTGCCCGTCAGACCCAACATCACTGCCAGGCCATCAGGGTTTCCCAAAAGGAGGCAGGTATAGAAGTGGGACCCACCCGGATGAACCTATCCACCAGAGGTGGCGACACCCTTGACTCAATTGAGG